TCTCCATAGGAGAACTGCTGTTGGGCTACCCTTTTTGGTACTAGGTAGAAAAACCCTTTTGGGTTCCAGGTTGAACCCTTTTGGGTTCCATGTAGAACCCCTTTCCACAGAGGGTTCTACATTGAACCCTAAAGGGTTCTACAAAGGGTTATCTTATGGGGACAGTCGAATAACTCCTTTAGGTTCTAGATATCACCTTTTTTTCAACGAGTGTAGAAAAACACAGACAGAAGAACTGTTGGACAGAGAGGTAGCCCAAAGGGGGAAAAAACAATACATCAGTACCACACTGCAGATGGCCTATTTATTGTCTTACCTCCATAACATACTACATTTGCACACACTGTATATATATTTTCTATTGTGTTATTGACTGTATGTTGTGTTTATCCCATATGTAACTCTGTGTTGTTGTTATTTTTATCGCACTGCTTTGCTTTATCTTGGCCAGGTCGCAGTTGTAAATGAGAACTTGTTCTCAACTGGCTTACCTGGTTAAATAAAGGTGAAATAAAAATTAAAAAATTAAAATATGGTGGCAAATTCAAAACAGCTAAATCCATCCCCTATGAGAAAACTGCCTTTTCATAGTAATCCAGCCTTACTAGAGGCACAAAGAGAAACAAAACACTCAATAACCTAGTAAAAGACAATGATAGCAATACATTTTCATAAATGTCCCATGTAATCTAATAATTCACATACCTTCTTTTGCGTCCCTATCCCACTGATGTATCTTGCTGTATGCATTCGATGAAATATCCATCCATTCATCCATCCATCCAAACATTCATGCATTGTCATCCACGTGGTCTGTAAATAACACAATATTCCATATTCCATGACTCTTCTCTCCAACCACTAACCACCTAATATATGCAGAAAATCAAGAATGAGACCTTCCTTTTTGACCTGTTTGTGACTGTATAGGACATTGGCACATTAGATTTAGTCAGTCAGAGTAATCGCTGTAAGTCGGACTAGCGGTGCTGGTGGCCCTGCGGCCTTAGGGAGAGATGTTCCTAGCGGTACCAGGGAGCCCAAGGCCATAACAGTGGTCTTACAGTACTGAAACCCCCCCTGAGCTGCCACAGGATAATGGGATCAGGGAAATCATCTATTACTATGTTTCTATGTAGACTTGTCAAGTAATGTACTCAGGTCTAGAGAATTCCACTAGTATTTGGACTATATTGTTCGCCTAAATTCAGGGCGATTTATCAACAAATCATAGGCTATACGAAGAACACATCATGAGCAATACTAGCAAAAGGGTCTTGTCTTATACTCAAAATAAATAACTAACAACCTAAACTTCACCATGTTGACCATAGGTAATACTAATAACTACAAAATACAAATCTTAAACATTTATTAACTTTTGGGCATAAAAGTGTGGTTTATATGCAGTACCAGTCAAAGGTTTGGACACACCTACTCATTCAAGGGTTTTTCTATATTTGTACTATTTTCTACATTGCAGAATAATAGTGAAGACATCAAAACTGTGAAATAACACATATGGAATCATGTACTAACCAAAAAAGTGTTAAACAAATCAAAATATATTTTATATTCTTCAAAGTAGCCACCATTTGCCTTGATGACAGCTTTGCACACACTTGGAATTCTGAGGAATACTTTTCCAACAGTCTTGAAGGAGTTCCCACATATGCTGAGCACTTGTTGGCTGCTTTTCCCATACACACCCTGGAGGTGTGTTTTGGGTCATTGTCCTGTTGAAAAACAAATTATAGTCCCACGCAAACCAGATGGGATGGCGTATCGCTGCAGAATGCTGTGGTAGCCATGCTGGTTAAGTGTGCCTTGAATTCTAAATAAATCACTGACAGTGTCACCAGCAAAGCACCCCCACACCATCACACCTCCTCCTCCATGTTTCACGGTGGGACCCACACACGCAGTCTCCTCTGAACAGTTGATGTTGAGATGTGTCTGTTACTTGAACTTTGTTTGGGCTGCAATTTCTGAGGCTGGTAACTCTAATGAACTTATCCTTTGCAGCAGAGGAAACTCTGGGTCTTCCTTTCCTGTGGCGGTCCTCATGAGAGCCAGTTTCATCATAGCTCTTGATGGTTTTTTAAACTGCAGTTAAAGAAACTTTTAAAGTTCTTGAAATGTTCCGTATTGACTGACCTTCATGTCTTAAAGAAATAATGGACTGTCGTTTCTCTTTGCTTATTTGAACTGTTCTTGCCATAATATGGACTTGGTCTTTTACCAAATAGGGCTATCTTCTGTATACCACCCCTACATTGTCACAACACAACTGATTGGCTCAAACGCATTAAGGAAAGAAATTCCACAAAATACATTTTAACAAGGCACACCTGTTAATTGAAATGCATTCCAGGTGACTACCTCATGAAGCTGGTTGAGAGAATGCCAAGAGTGTGCAAAGCTGTCATCACGGCAAAGGGTGGCTACTTTGAAGAATATAAAATATAAAATATTGATTTGTTTAACACTTTTTTGGTTACTACATGATTCCATATGTGTTATTTCATAGTTTTGATGTCTTCACTATCATTCTACAATGTAGAAAATAGTAAAAATAAAGAAGAACCCTGGAATTAGTAAAAAAAATCCAACATGGAAGATTCCATATAATAATTCACACTCCGATAACCTATAGCTCAGTTGGTAGAGCATGGCACTTGCAACGCCAGGGTTGTGGGTTCGTTTCCCACGGGGGGCCAGTATGAAAATGTATGCACTCACTAACTGTAAGTCGCTCTGGATAAGAGCGTCTGCTAAATGACTAAAAATGTAAATATCGTTTTTGTAGGTGGTATTTTTTGAGTCAGAGAAGTCATCCTAGAACCAGCTTCTATTGTTGCTGTTCAAGGACTGAATTTGCATTCAATAAACATCCCAATAACACATAATGAATGGATGGGGTGGAGAGATTCTAGGAATGTCTTGTCTTCTTCCGTCAAACAACTTCTTCCACAGCCAGTGTGGGAGAGTGAGTGGTGTGATTCACACAGTGGCATAGCTATGGGCTAAAGGCTGAAACAGGTCTGGACTATAGAATATGTGAGGCACATAGTAAAGAGTAGAACCATTCCACTGTGTGGCTCTGAGGCAGAATGGCACACCATGGAGGGAGGCTTGACTTCAGACTTCACCTCTGGTGGTGACACTATCGTCCCTTGAATCTAGAGGGGAAATGAAAGAGATGGAAATATGTACAGTGGGGAAAAAAAGTATTTAGTCAGCCACCAATTGTGCAAGTTCTCCCACTTAAAAAGATGAGAGAGGCCTGTAATTTTCATCACAGGTACATGTCAACTATGACAGACAAAATGAGGAAAAGAAATCCAGAAAATCACATTGTAGGATTTTTAATGAATTTATTTGCAAATTATGGTGGAAAATAAGTATTTGGTCAATAACAAACGTTTCTCAATACTTTGTTATATACCCTTTGTTGGCAATGACACAGGTCAAACGTTTTCTGTAAGTCTTCACAAGGTTTTCACACACTGTTGCTGGTATTTTGGCCCATTCCTCCATGCAGATCTCCTCTAGAGCAGTGATGTTTTGGGGCTGTCGCTGGGCAACACGGACTTTCAACTCCCTCCAAAGATTTTCTATGGGGTTGAGATCTGGAGACTGGCTAGGCCACTCCAGGACCTTGAAATGCTTCTTACGAAGCCACTCCTTCGTTGCCCGGGCGGTGTGTTTGGGATCATTGTCATGCTGAAAGACCCAGCCACGTTTAATCTTCAATGCCCTTGCTGATGGAAGGAGGTTTTCACTCAAAATCTCACGATACATGGCCCCATTCATTCTTTCCTTTACACGGATCAGTCGTCCTGGTCCCTTTGCAGAAAAACAGCCCCAAAGCATGATGTTTCCACCCCCATGCTTCACAGTAGGTATGGTGTTCTTTGGATGCAACTCAGCATTCTTTGTCCTCCAAACACGACGAGTTGAGTTTTTACCAATAAGTTCTATTTTGGTTTCATCTGACCATATGACATTCTCCCAATCCTCTTCTGGATCATCCAAATGCACTCTAGCAAACTTCAGACGGGCCTGGACATGTACTGGCTTAAGCAGGGGGACACGTCTGGCACTGCAGGATTTAAGTCCCTGGCGGCGTAGTGTGTTACTGATGGTAGGCTTTGTTACTTTGGTCCCAGCTCTCTGCAGGTCATTCACTAGGTCCCCCCGTGTGGTTCTGGGATTTTTGCTCACCGTTCTTGTGATCATTTTGACCCCACGGGGTGAGATCTTGCGTGGAGCCCCAGATTGAGGGAGATTATCAGTGGTCTTGTATGTCTTCCATTTCCTAATAATTGCTCCCACAGTTGATTTCTTCAAACCAAGCTGCTTACCTATTGCAGATTCAGTCTTCCCAGCCTGGTGCAGGTCTACAATTTTGTTTCTGGTGTCCTTTGACAGCTCTTTGGTCTTGGCCATAGTGGAGTTTGGAGTGTGACTGTTTGAGGTTGTGGACAGGTGTCTTTTATACTGATAACAAGTTCAAACAGGTGCCATTAATACAGGTAACGAGTGGAGGACAGAGGAGCCTCTTAAATAAGAAGTTACAGGTCTGTGAGAGCCAGAAATCTTGCTTGTTTGTAAGTGACCAAATATTTTCCACCATAATTTGCAAATAAATTCATTAAAAATCCTACAATGTGATTTTCTGGGGAAAAAAATTCTCAATTTGTCTGTCATAGTTGACGTGTACCTATGATAAAAATTACAGGCCTCTCTCATCTTTTTAAGTGGGAGAACTTGCACAATTTGTGGCTGACTAAATACTTTTTTCCCCCACTGTATAACTATTTAATACAGTGAGGAAGATGACTATTTAAAGCACATTCAATCATGTATTATACAGTCGATTTTAAACAAAGAACTGATCAACATTTATATAAATCAACATCCCAGAAGAGTGAAAGGACTCCGTTTCATTGGTTCCCTGTGGTTGACACACCTCCATCAGTGACTAATTGAAAGCACTACATCAGCCCCAGCCCCAGCATCCTGATCCCCAGCCCCAGCCCTGACTGAACACTCACCGACCACTCATCCTGCCCCCACTTGGAGCAGCGCACGTTCATGGGCAGCTGTAGAACCATCTCGTTGAAGGACCTCCCTCTGTTCTTCGACCACCTGTACTTGTCCATGGCCTCTGTGAAGGAGAGATTGCTGTACTTCTTTGGGCTCTTGATCATGAAAGGCCAGGTCCTTTGACAGAAGAAGAATGTACAGTAAGTGAAAGGTAGGTAAGTAAAAGGTAGAATGTAAAAGGAAAAATGTAAAAGGTAGAATGTAAAAGATAGAATGTAAAAGGTAGAATGTAAAACATAGAATGTAAAAGGTAGAATGTAAAACATAGAATGTAAAAGGTAGAATCTTTACCATACATCTGCTGATGCACAATATATCAGTCGCTGTATACATGTACAGTGCATTCGGAAAGTATTCAGACCCCTTCACGTTTTCCACATTTTGTTACATTACAGCCTTATTCTAAAATTGATTAAATAAAAAATTGTCCTCATCAATTTACACACAATACCCCATAATGACAAAGCTAAAACAGAAATACCTTATTTACATAAGTATTCAGACCCTTTGCTATGAGACTTGAAATTGAGCTCAGGTGCATCCTGTTTCCATTGTTCATCCTTGAGATGTTTCTACAACTTGATTGGAGTCCACCTGTGGTAAATTCAATTGATTGGACATGATTTGGAAAGAAACACACCTGTCTATATATCGTCCCACAGTTGACAATGCATGTCAGAGCAAAAATCAAGCCATGAGGTTGAAGGAATTGTTCGTAGAGCTCCGAGACAGGATTGTGTCGAGGCACAGATCTGGGGAAGAGTACCAAAGAATGTCTGCAGCATCCCCAAGAACACAGTGGCCTCCATCATTCTTAAATGGAAGAACCAAGACTAGACTGATCCCGAGTGGCGCAGGGGTCTAAGGCACTGCATCGCAGTGCTAGCTGTGCCACTAGAGATCCTGGTTCGAATCCAGGCTCTATCGTAGCCGGCCGCGATCGGGAGATCCATGGGGCGGCGCATAATTGGCCCAGGGTAGGGGAGGGAATGGCCGGCAGGGATGTAGCTCAGTTGGTAGAGCATGGTGTTTGCAATGCCAGGGTTGTGGGTTCGATTCCCAAGGGGGGCCAGTATGAAAAATAAATAAAGAATGTATGCACTCACTAACTGTAAGTCGCTCTGGATAAGAGCGTCTGCTAAATGACTAAAATGTATTCCACCTAGAGCTAGCCGCCTGACCAAACTGAGCAATCAGGGGAGAAAGGCCTTGGTCAGGGAGGTGATCAAGAACCCGATGGTCAGTCTGACAGAGCTCCAGAGTTCCTCTGTGGAGATGGGAGAACATTCCAGAAGGACAACCATCTCTGCAGCACTCCACCAATCAGGCCTTTATGGTAGAGTGGCCAGACAGAAGCCACTCCTCAGTAAAAGGCACAAGTTTGCCAAAAGGCACCTAAAGGACTCTCAGACCATGAGAAACAAGATTCTCTGGTCTGATGAAACCAAGATTTAACTCTTTGGCCTGAATGCCAAACGTCACATCTGGAGGAAACCAGGCACTGCTCGTCACCTGGCCAACATCATCCCTACGGTGAAGCATGGTGCATCAAAGCTGGGACTATCTCAAGGCCATCAGACTGTTAAATAGCCATCACTAGCCGGCGTCCACCCGGTTACACAACCCTGCACCTTAGAGGTTGCTGCCCTATATACATAGACTTGGAATCACTGTCCACTTTAATAATGGAACACTAGTCACTTTAATAATGTTTACGTACTGCTTTACTCATCTCATATGTATATACTGTATTCTATTCTACTGTATTTTAGTCAATGCCACTCCGACATTGCTCAATCTAATATTTATATATATTTCAATTCCATTCTTTTACTTTTAGATTTGTGTGTATTGTTGTGAATTGTTAAATACTACTGCACTGTTGGAGCTACAGTGAGGGAAAAAAGTATTTGATCCCCTGCTGATTTTGTACGTTTGCCCACTGACAAAGAAATGATCAGTCTATAATTTTAATAGTAGGTTTATTTGAACAGTGAGAGACAGAATAACAACAAAAGAATCCAGAAAAATGCATGTCAAAAATGTTATAAATTGATTAGCATTTTAATGAGGGAAATAAGTATTTGACCCCCTCTCAGAAAGATTTCTGGCCCCCAGATGTCTTTTATACAGGTAACGAGCTGAGATTAGGAGCACACTCTTAAAGGGAGTGCTCCAAATCTCAGCTTGTTACCTGTATAAAAGACACCTGTCCACAGAAACAATCAATCAATCAGATTCCAAACTCTCCACCATGGCCAAGACCAAAGAGCTCTCCAAGGATGTTAGGGACAAGATTGTAGACCTACACAAGGCTGGAATGGGCTACAAGACCATCGCCAAGCAGCTTGGTGAGAAGGTGACAACAGTTGGTGCGATTATTCGCAAATGGAAGAAACACAAAAGAACTGTCAATCTCCCTCGGCCTGGGGCTCCATGCGAGATCTCACCTCGTGGAGTTGCAATGATCATGAGAACGGTGAGGAATCAGCCCAGAACTACACAGGAGGATCTTGTCAATGATCTCAAGGCAGCTGGGACCATAGTCACCAAGAAAACAATTGGTAACACACCAAGCCGTGAACGACTGAAATCCTGCAGCGCCCGCAAGGTCCCCCTGCTCAAGAAAGCACATATACAGGGCCGTCTGAAGTTTGCCAATGAACATCTGAATGATTCAGAGGAGAACTGGGTGAAAGTGTTGTGGTCAGATGAGACCAAAATCGAGCTCTTTGGCATCAACTCAACTCGGCGTGTTTGGAGGAGGAGGAATGCTGCCTATGACCCCAAGAACACCATCCCCACCGGCAAACATGGAGGTGGAAACATTATGCTTTGGGGGTGTTTTTCTGCTAAGGGGACAGGACAACTTCACCGCATCAAAGGGACGATGGACGGGGCCATGTACCGTCAAATCTTGGGTGAGAACCTCCTTCCCTCAGCCAGGGCATTGAAAATGGGTCGTGGATGGGTATTCCAGCATGACAATGACCCAAAACACATGGCCAAGGCAACAAAGGAGTGGCTCAAGAAGAAGCACATTAAGGTCCTGGAGTGGCCTACCCAGTCTCCAGACCTTATTCCCATAGAAAATCTGTGGAGGGAGCTGAAGGTTCGAGTTGTCAAACGTCAGCCTCTAAACCTTAATGACTTGGAGAAGATCTGCAAAGAGGAGTGGGACAAAATCCCTCCTGAGATGTGTGCAAACCTGGTGGCCAACTACAAGAAACGTCTGACCTCTGTGATTGCCAACAAGGGTTTTGCCACCAAGTACTAAGTCATGTTTTGCAGAGGGGTCAAATACTTATTTCCCTCATTAAAATGCAAATCAATTTATAACATTTTTGACATGCGTTTTTCTGGATTTTGTTGTTGTTATTCTGTCTCTCATTGTTCAAATAAATCTACCATTAAAATTATAGACTGATTATTTCTTTGTCAGTGGGCAAACGTACAAAATCAGCAGGGGATCAAATACTTTTTTCCCTCACTGTAGGAACACAAGCATTTTGCTACATCCGCAATAACATCTGCTAAATATGTGTATGTGACCAATAAAATGTGATTTGATTTCATTTGGTGGTGGCAGCATCATACTGTGGGGATGTTTTTCAGCGGCAGAGACTGGAAGACTAGTCAGGATCGAGGGAAAGATGAAAGGAGCAAAGTACAGAGAGATCCTTGATGAAAACCTGCTCCAGAGTGCTAAGGACCGTAGACTGGGGCGAAGGTTCACCTTCCAACAGGACAACGACCCGAAGCACACAGCCAAGACAATGCAGGAGTGGCTTCGGGACAAGTCTCTGAATGTCCTTGAGTGGCCCAGCCAGAGCCAGGACTTGAATCTGATCTAACATCTCTGGAGATCTGAAAATAGCTGTGCAGCGACACTCCCCATCAAACCTGACAGAGCTTGAGAGGATATGCAGAGAAGAATGGGAGAAATTCTCCAAATACAGATGTGCCAAGCTTGTAGCATCATACCCAAGAAGACTCAAAGCTGTAATCGCTGCCAAAGGTGTGTCACACCCTGGCTCTGGGACTCTATATGTTGAGCCAGGGTGTGTTCTTTCTGTTGTGTTTATTTCTATGTTGGCCAGAGTGACTCCCAATCAGAGGCAACGAGTGTCAGCTGTCGTTGGTTGTCTCTGATTGGGAGCCATATTTAAACTGTCTGTTTTCCCTTTGTGTTTGTGGGTTCTTGTTCCGTGTTGGTCATTGTTACCGTGGACTTCACAAGTCGTTTCTTGTTTTGTTTATTGTTGTCTATTATCACTAAAGATAATAAAGTTTAAACATGTTCGTTCATCACGCTGCGCCTTGGTCTATTCCCTACGACGATCGTGACAGAAGAACCCACCATAAAAGGACCAAGCAGCGTGTCCAGGAGCAGGCAGACTGGACATGGGAGGAAGCGCCGGGAAAGGAGATGGAGAGGTTGGCGATGGCCCAGGTGGGCAAATCGTGGTCCTGGGAGGACATGCTCGGGGGCAAGGGACCATGGGCTAGGATTAAGGCCTTGGCGAGAGAGGAGCAGCGGCGTCAGCAGTGTCATCGTCGGACGGACGAGAGGCAACCCAAAAAATTTTTTAGGGGGGGGCACACGGCATGGGCGGCTGGGCAGCAGGAGGCTGCCACAGGGCGATTTGGAGAGGAGGCCACCGGGTTAGGGGGGCCAGAAGGCAGGTTGGCGGAGCCTGGATGGAGAGCGGAACCAACTTCCCGTACTCAGGCATGGCAGCATGGGACGGGGCAGGTTCCGCGGTATGCGGAGCGGCGTACTGTGCCACGAGTGGTCCGGCATAGTCCTGTACGTCCTGTGCGAGCACCCCGCACGTGTCGTGCGAAGGGGGGTATGCAGCCAGGACGGAGTGTGCCGGCTCAACGCTCGTGGTCTCCAATGCCTCTCCGCGGTCCCGGATATCCTGCTCCAGTGTCACGTGCTGTTATGCCAGTACGGGTACACAGCCCTGTACGTCCTGTGCGGATGCCTCACACAGAGTGTGTGAGGGTAGGCATTCAGCCAGGACGGGTTGTGGCCGCTCTTCACTCCAGGTCTCCTATCCGTCTCCACAGCCCGGTTCGGCCTGTCCCTGCTCCACGCACCAAGCCTACGGTGTGCGTCGCCAGCCCGGTTCGGCCTGTCCCTGCTCCTCGCACCAAGCCTACGGTGTGCGTCGCCAGCCCTGTCCGGCCTGTCCCTACTCCACGCACCAAGCCTACGGTGTGCGTCGCCAGCCCGGTCCGGCCTGTCCCTACTCCACGCACCAAGCCAGGGGTGCGAGTCGTCAGCCCGGTCCGGCCTGTTCCTACTCCACGCACCAGGCCAGGGGTGCGCATCGTCAGCCCGGTCCGGCCCGTTCCGGCTCCACGCACCAAGCCAGGGGTGCGCGTCGCCAGCCCGGCCCGGCCTGTTCCTGCTACTCGCACTAAGCCAGGGGTGCGAGTCGTCAGCCTGGTAAGGCCCGTTCCTCCTCCACGCACCAAGCCAGGGGTGCGCGTCGTCAGTCCAGCACAACCCGTGCCTGGGTCACCGGTGCCTGGTAAGGTACCGGTCAACTGCTCCACTACGGAGCTGAAGCTAACCGCTCCTGCTGCGTCCAGTTCAGCTCCAGCCAGCGGGGCCAGGCTGGACCAGGGGCGCTATGGGGGGTTTATTGGAGGGTGGTGGGCAAGGCCAGAGCCAGAACCGCCGCCGAGGAGGAATGCCCACCCAGCCCTCCCCTGTTTTGTTCAAGTTGAGGCGCGGTCGCAGTCCGCGCCTTTAGGGGGGGGTACTGTCACACCCTGGCTCTGGGACTCTATATGTTGAGCCAGGGTGTGTTCTTTCTGTTGTGTTTATTTCTATGTTGGCCAGAGTGACTCCCAATCAGAGGCAACGAGTGTCAGCTGTCGTTGGTTGTCTCTGATTGGGAGCCATATTTAAACTGTCTGTTTTCCCTTTGTGTTTGTGGGTTCTTGTTCCGTGTTGGTCATTGTTACCGTGGACTTCACGAGTCGTTTCTTGTTTTGTTTATTGTTGTCTATTATCACTAAAGATAATAAAGTTTAAACATGTTCGTTCATCACGCTGCGCCTTGGTCTATTCCCTACGACGATCGTGACAAGGTGCTTCAACAAAGTACTGAGTAAAGGGTTTGAATACTTATGTAAATGTGATATTTCAGTTTTGTATTTTGTATAAATATGCAAAAATCTATCAAAACCTGTTTTTGCTTTGTCATTATGGGGTATTGTGTGTAGATTGATGAGGAAAAAAATAACTTAATCCATTTTAGAATAAGGCTGTAGCATAACAAAATGTGGAAAAAGTGAAGGGGTCTGAATACTTTCTGAATGCACTGTACATTATTCAAAATGTTTACAACTTATGGTCAGAAGGAAAAAGAGCAGCTGCTAACTAAATTATTCCCAAAGCATTTCCATGGGGAAGACGTTAGGGAAAGTGGGACTGCTGTTTCCTGCTAAGGCCTGTTTTTGTTTACAGAAGGTTGGTGTTCGTCTTCATGGACAAGGCTTCTTGGAGAGCACATAGCCTTTCTTGGAGGGAAGAAAGAGCTGTGTAACCTAATCTGTTTAGAGCAGCCAGCCTGACCTATTCAAACTTCCTCTTCCTCTAAATGGGAACAAAAGTAGTTGAGCCCTGCTGTAATAGCAGGAAGAGTAAATGCACTCCTGCAGCCCAACCCATCAAATAGACTCTCATTTCCAGGCTTTTAAAAATTATTCTCAGGTCTAAGTTCTCCCTTACACAACCTACCACTCAGCGGCATATGAACAGGAAACACCATGGACACATTACAATACATACAGTAGCATCAATTAAGAAACAGTTTGCACTATGTCTATTTTATTTACTGACATACTGACAATCAACGGACATCTACGTACTCTTATGATTACATGAAGTAGAATGTAGAATGTTATGTTTCAGGATTTCACATCTGCTTTTGATGCCATTTTATTTGCATAAAGCAAAGATGGAAAAACTTAATGGCAAAAATATTTGTTTCACTAACCACGCTTCCATCCACAGTTTTCATGCGAGTAAAGTCATACAGTATAAAAAAAACAGATGTGATGTAACAGGAAGTTTCGGTACAATTTTATAAATACCTACAGATAATACAGTACCAGTCAAAAGTTTGGACACACCTACTCATTCAAGGAATTTTCTTTATTTTGACTATTTTCTACATTTTAGAATAATAGTGAAGACATCAAAACTATGAAATAACACATATGGAATCATGCAGTAACCAAAAAAGTGTTAAACAAATCAAAATATATTTTAGATTTTAGATTCTTCAAAGTAGCCACCCTTGGCCTTGATGACAGCTTTGCACACTCTTGGCATTCTCTCAACCAGCTTCATGAGGTAGTCACCTGGCATGCTTTCCAACTGTCTTGAAGGAGTTCGCACATATGCCGAGCACTTGTTGGCTGCTTTTCCTTCACTCTTTGGTCCAACTCATCCCAAACCAGAATGCCAAGAGTGTGCAAAGCTGTCATCAAGGCAAAGGGTGGCTACTTTGAACAATCTCAAATATGAAATATATTTTGATTTGTTTAACACTTTTTTGGTTACTACATGATTCCATATGTGTTATTTCATAGTTTTGATGTCTTCACTATTATTCTACAATGTAGAAAATAGTAAAAATAAAGAAAACCCCTGGAATGAGTAGGTGTGTCCAAACTTTTGACTGGTACTGTATGTTTATTTGACATGGTGGGATCTTTTTGTGTCGGTAAAATGTATTATGTGAGAAATGTCGGTGGAAACGCCTTCACGCGCAAATACTGATATAATAACCATCATATCATAGCAAACTTGGAGTCACGCGAGGATATCAAAGATTTTTATACGATGATATGGTGTGTGGTCCTCCAACTACGACTCGGGAAACCACGCAGTTTATTAGGCTACATATTAAGTCAATTAAGATGAACTTCACAGGGTGTTGAAAGTGCACGCTATGAGCTTGATGCTCTATTCCAATAAATACCGAGGGTCTTATTCTGGTGACATGATGATCGATTCTTGACTGCCGTTTGACAAATACAAATAGTCTCGTTTATCCATAATAATCTCATCATGTAGACTAGCCTACCCGCACTGTATATGTGAGCTGTTGGCTAGAACGAACCAGAGTAGGCACATTTGCTATTTAACGCAACAGTTTTTTGTGACAAAACTATCGGTTGAACTTTAGATTTTTATTCGATAATGAAAACTTAAGCGAAAATTTACATTTTGGGTGCACTATGTCATCATGCACATATATTTCTCTACAACAAGTCAGTTTGGTGGAAACACCACCTGGAGGGAAAATGTTTCTTAATTCAGATTTTAGAATATTCCCATGAAAAGCTGTCGCCAATTGGATAGAAATCTAGCGACAGAGACAAATATTGTGCATTGTCTAATTTAAATGGATGAACAATATGTTATTTTGAACAAAAGGAATAGAATGCAAGAGCAAAAACATAGTAAGGAAAACAATAAACTATTGCTTTGTATATCTTGCTGTCAAATTCCAGCATGCTAACAGGTAAAACAAAACAGAACCATCTAAAACAGGAAAAAGAGTAACACTGTGATCAACTTCAGATGTGCTCCACTTGTTGACCCCACTGGGCTAGTTTGATTACAGGCTCTTTGGGACTATAACCCATATTCCTCTGTCCTTTCTTCCTTCCTATGAAGTGCAATTTCTTTGTCCCATAAACCTCTTCCAGTCCTTCCCCTATTCTCTCTCCCAGGCCTGGGGGAATGCATGTATGTACTCTCTCTCTCTATAACATGCAGTAACTAATTTGGAACATAACTTATCCCTGAGAATGCATAGTGTATGACCTTTGTAAGGTGCTCCAGGCAGAGAAAACTCTTCACCTAAAAATTATCTTCCCCAATTGGTGTTACAGGTTCCAACTTGAACTGCTACAGTATATGGGTATTGTAGTTGCAGTACAGAGCCTCATACTTACGTGACAGGCACCTGGATCTCTTTGACTCCGATGAACTTAAGCTGTCCGGTGATCTCAGGGAGGCTCTCACACCTGGCCAGGTTCACTCTGGGATAGTAGAGCAGGTAGGACAGACACATCTCATCCCTGGTGGTCAAACCACCCTGAGGGAACAACCAGAGGGGAAAAAATCTAGAAATCAAGTGGTTAAGAGCGTTGGGCCAGTAACCGAAAGGTCACTGGTTCGAATCCCCGAACCCGGCAAGGTAGAACATTCTGCCGTTCTGCACTTTGTGCAAGGCAGATAACCCCCAACAACAACTGTTTCCTGGGCGCTGATGATGTCGATTAAGGCAGCCCCCCACACCTCTCTGATTCAGAGGGGTTGGGTTAAATGCGGAAGACACATTTCGGTTCAATGCATTCAGTTGTGCAACTGACTAGGTATCCCCCTTTCCATATTCAGTATACTAAACACCAATACAACAGCTAAATTAAAGGTTACATATACTCAGAGCCTCCTCTAGCCTTTTGTGAGATTTGGTTGGGAAAAACATTTTAGTGGCCTCCCTCTTGGCGGTGGAGTGAAAATGTTGCAGTTTTAAAGCTAATTATCTGCAATTGTACACATTTTGCCTTGACTTATGCCATGTTCATACAATATCTGGATGACTAACAAAATCAATGTGGGCCCCCTGGAGGTCAGGGGCCCCCTGGAGGTCAGGGCCCCTGGGCACTTGCCCTTCCTGATTCAGCAATGAAGGTTTAGATAGCTGGCTAGACTAACTTACCGAGCAGTCTTATAAAATGTTAGCTGACATGGGTTAATTGAGTGACTGTCAGTGACTGACATAACAAGAGAAAAGCTGCTGATGCACAACCAAATTTCAAAATTGCACATTGTGTATTATAGTATGCTATCGCTCAACAATAAGTTGAGACCTTGACTCAGTTCCCAAAATGTTGTTTACAATAGCATTTACAAAATTAGGGGCCGCAGGGGTCCTACGCAGAACGTGTAGTCTGCAGCACTGCCTTTACTATTCTTTACTGTTATCAAATTACACTTCTATTTTATTCTATTTAGCCCCACAACAAAACAAATCTGTAAATACATGGATATCTGTGTAACAATCATCAACTTAAACAAACACTAAGATTTGGCTCCAGCTAGTCCTTGCAAACCACGAAGAAATCATGAAAATCTGTTTCTGAAAACATGTGACTGATATAGATTAAGTACCACTTCAGGCTGTACAGTGGGGGAAAAAAGTATTTAGTCAGCCACCAATTGTGCAAGTTCTCCCACTTAAAAAGATGAGAGAGGTTTGTAATTTTCATCATAGGTACACGTCAACTATGACAGACAAAATGAGGAAAAAAAATTCCAGAAAATCACATTGTAGGATTTTTAATGAATTTATTTGCAAATTATGGTGGAAAATAAGTATTTGGTCAATAACAAAAGTTTCTCAGTACTTTGTTATATACCCTTTGTTGGCAATGACACAGGTCAAACATTTTCTGTAAGTCTTCACAAGGTTTTCACACACTGTTGCTGGTATTTTGGCCCATTCCTCCATGCAGATCTCCTCTAGAGCAGTGATGTTTTGGGGCTGTCGCTGGGCAACACAGACTTTCAACTCCCTCCAAAGATGTTCTATGGGGTTGAGATCTGGAGACTGGCTAGGCCACTCCAGTACCTTGAAATGCTTCTTACGAAGCCACTCCTTCGTTGCCCGGGCGGTGTGTCTGGGATCATTGTCATGCTGAAAGACCCAGCCACGTTTCATCTTCAATGCCCTTGCTGATGGAAGGAGGTTTTCACTCAAAATCTCACGATACATGGCCCCATTCATTCTTTCCTTTACACAGATCAGTCGTCCTGGTCCCTTTGCAGAAAAACAGCCCCAAAGCATGATGTTTCCACCCCCATGCTTCACAGTAGGTATGGTGTTCTTTGGATGCAACTCAGCATTCTTTGTCCTCCAAACACGACGAGTTGAGTTTTTACCAAAAAGTTCTATTTTGGTTTCATCTGACCATATGACATTCTCCCAATCCTCTTCTGGATCATCCAAATGCACTCTAGCAAACTTCAGACGGGCTTGGACATGTACTGGCTTAAGCAGGGGGACACGTCTGGCACTGCAGGATTTGAGTCCCTGGCGGCGTAGTGTGTTACTGATGGTAGGCTTTGTTACTTTGGTCCCAGCTCTCTGCAGGTCATTCACTAGGTCCCCCCGTGTGGTTCTGGGATATTTGGTCACCGTTCTTGTGATCATTTTGACCCCACGGGGTGAGATCTTGCGTGGAGCCCCAGATCGAGGGAGATTATCAGTGGTCTTGTATGTCTTCCATTTCCTAATAATTGCTCCCACAGTTGATTTCTTCAAACCAAGCTGCATACCTATTGCAGATTCAGTCTTCCCAGCCTGGTGCAGGTCTACAATTCTGTTTCTGGTGTCCTTTGACAGCTCTTTGGTCTTGGCCATAGTAGAGTTTGGAGTGTGACTGTTTGAGGTTGTGGACAGGTGTCTTTTATACTGTTAACAAGTTCAAACAGGTGCCATTAATACAGGTAACGAGTGGAGGACAGAGGAGCCTCTTAAAGAAGAAGTTACAGGTCTGTGAGAGCCAGAAATCTTGCTTGTTTGTAGGTGACCAAATACTTATTTTCCACCATAATTTGCAAATAAATTCATAAAAAATCCTACAATGTGATTTTCTGGATTTTCTTTTCTCATTTTGTCTGTCATAGTTGACGTGTACCTATGATGAAAATTACAGGCCTCTCTCATCTTTTTAAGTGGGAGAACTTGCACAATTGGTGGCTGACTAAATACTTTTTCCCCCACTGTATTATGTCTAACACAAAGCTGACACAATAACAGTGCCTTGTGGTGACAAAGTTGTAATGGCATTTTGGGGAATGTGTATTTTGGGGGAAAATAAATGGCATGAATTCACAGAATTCACAGAATCATAACAATGGATAAAAATTCTGTCTTATATTGTTCCAGAATAATAATTGGTTGGCATGTTTACTCCTGAATAGTAGAGAGTAACTCTAGAAGAAAAGGAGCTCCGTTCTACGACTGTAGTCATCAGTCATTTGTTCGTTTGATGTCTCTGTAAGAAACGGTGCCAGTAGCTGCAAACAACTATATAACCAAGATCCCATCTGTGGGCCTGGGGCTGTATTTGCAGACAGATTGTTCAGCCAAGACAGACAGCCTTTAACACATACAGTGCTGTGAAAAAGTATTTGCCCCCTTTCTAATTTTCTCTACTTTTGCATATTTTTGATACTGAATGTTATCAGATCTTCAACCAAAACCTAATATTAGATAAAGGGAACCTGAGTGAACAAATAACACAACAATTACATACTTATTTCATTTATTTAATAAACAAAGTTATGCAACACCCAATGCCCCTATGTGAAAAAGGAATTGCCCCCTTACACTCAATAACTGGTTGTGCCACCTTTAGCTACAATGACTCCAAACCAAACGCTTCCTGTAGTTGTTGATCAGTCTCTCACGTCGCTGAGGAGGAATTTTGGCCCACTCTTCCATGTAGAACTGTTTTAACTCAGCGACATTTGTGGGTTTTCAAGCATGAACTGTTCATTTCAAGTCCTGCCACAACATCTCAATTGGGATTAGGTCTGGACTTTGTCTAGGCCATTACAAAACATCACATTTGTTGCTTTTTAGACATTTTCATGTAGACTTTATTGTGTGTTGTGGATCCTTGTCTTGCTGCATGATCCAGCTGCGCTTTAGCTTCAGCTCACAGACAGATGGCCTGACATTCTCCTGTAGAATTATCTGATACAGAGCAGAATTCATGGTTCCTTCTATTAAGGCAAGTCGTTCAGTCAGCAAAGCATCCCCAAACCATCACACTACCACCACCATGCTTGACTGTTGGTATAAGGTTCTTACTGTGGAATGTAGTGTTTGGTTATATTTTTGATTCATCTGTCCATAGAACATTCTTCCAAGAGTCTTGATGATCATCCAGATGCTTCCAGGTGCTTTTTGGACGAGATGGGTTCCATTATGTCTGGCAAAAACCAAACACTGCATTCCACAGTAAGAACCTCATACCAATGGTCAAGCATGGTGGTAGTGTGATGGTTTGGGGATGCTTTGCTGTCTCAGGAACCGGGCCAACTTATCATAATAGAAGGAATCATGAATTCTACAGGAGAATGTTAGGCCATCCGTCTGTGAGCTGAAGCTGAAGCGCAGCTGGGTCATGCAGCAAGACAATGATCCAAAACACACAATCAAGTCTACATGAAAATGGTTAAAAAGTAACAAATCAAAGTCCAGAACTAATCCCAATTGAGATGTTGTGGCAGGACTTGAAAAGAGCAGTTCATGCTTGAAAACCCACAAATGTCACTGAGTTAAAGCAGTTCTGCATGCGAAGGTGGGCCAAAATTCTTCCAGACTGATCAACAACTACAGGAAGCATTTGGTTGTAGTCATTGCAGCTAAAGGTGGCACAACCAGTTATTGAGTGTAAGGGGGCAATTACCTTTTCACACAGGGGAAAGGTAAAAGGTTCCCTTTATCTAATATTAGGTTTTGGTTGAAGATCTGATAGCATTCAGTATCAAAAATATGCAAAATAGAGAAAATCTGAAAGTATCAACCAAGAGGTTCATGCAGGCGAAACACAACTCAATCCTATTACCGGTAAGTACATAACACTAAATTCCCTTCCATTTAAGTATACTAATCTATTCATTCGTAATTGTGTAATAAGAATGATGATATCCTTCTGTGTAATTTTTCTTCAAAGGTAAGAATGGTTAAAAAACAACATGGGCTTTGTGTCCATCTTATGGTACATCTGAAGTCAAAGCAATAACCCCATAGCTCTACCCTCAAGGGTTGTGTAATGTTGTTATGAACATGACGACTATTGTCCCATACTGCAATCAACCAAATCATCAAATCAACCAAATCATCAAATCACAGAAACACGCAGACAGATGAGAAACATGAGCTCAAATAGACTCAAGTAGGCTCAGCCTGAGGAACAATAGAACACATGGAAAAATTAGGTGATCTCTGTAAACTCACATAAAACAGATCATTAGGAAGAAGCCACATCTTAAGGATGAGCTGGATTCACCATGTCAGGGCTGACAGCTCAGTTTCAAAGGCCCCATAGAAGCAAAAAGAAGAAAATAATAGAGAAAGCAGGCAAAATAAGTATTAATTTATCCATGTGGATTGTGAGTAGTGCATTCTTACCCAGGTCATGTTTTGTCTGTCTTTTGTGGTGTACTTGCATTCTGTGATCAAATTGTCACCCTGAAAAGAAATTTGAAATCAAGGCACTTCTGTGGTTGTGAATTTAGAACCCCACGTCAAACAGAATGCCGTTTTCATTAAAGTACATCATTAAGATAACACTAAAGCAGTAATATCCAGTACAAGGAGGCGTGATTTCCTGTGGTTTTAGCATGGTTGTGCTGCGGTCAAAGGTACGAGGCAACAGCCGTTAGTGAGCAAAGCCAAAAGATGAAGCCCTACTTATGTCCTGTATCTATGTAGGTGGATCAAAGTCATGCAATCATCAATCATTACCGTTCATCACAGGGAGAGGGGAACATGCTTCGACCTGCATGGCAAGCTCAAGCAGTAGATTTATATTCCCATATTTCCTACACTACTTAAAAGGTAGACTCAGCGAAATGACATTGCCACGAGCAGATATTGCGGTGAGCGAGATGCAAGACTTCTCTCTCACACGGTCACACACAGTTTCTGCGCATGTGCATGGGTTCGCTTCACGTTGTTAGAGCGTGGTAGGTACGGGACGAAAACAGTGGAGGAGTTTAGCCTTGCTCTTCAACGCTCTTAGTTGTTGCGGAAATTGACCCACTATGCTGTTTACTTTGTGCACCTACGTCATATCGCTGAGTCTACCTTTAACATGTCAGCTAAACAGTATATCAGAGTACCAACAGGTAACAGCAGCCTCTCATCCTTCAGCAGCTGGAACTCCTGGAAGTTGAAGTCAAACTCCTCGTCATGTGAGAGGGGCTGCAGCTCCTTCTGTTCCCGGAAGTGTCTGGTTCTGATGGCACGGCCAGCTAGGTGGGCATGCATCAGAACAGCAAACACCCTCACTCCGCTGGGCATCTCCTGGCCTAGGGACTGACAGAGGAGCAAATAGATATTATCTCAGAGATGCAGAAAGTGCTTTTTAGTTTAATTGCTTTTGGATGATCACTGTTTTGGGCACGTAGCAAGACTAAAATGGAGGCTTGTCACTGTTGGTGGTATAGCATAACAGTAATTTAACAGTGGATGTTTGACTCCTGTTGTTCCCTAGTGAAATGGGAATGTCTGGCATCGCACCAGTTTGAAAGGACTCCGTCATAGCTGTCTGTCTTACCTCCTGCAAACACTCGCGGGTACAGTGTCCCTCTGAGACGTACTCCTGCATGCCTGGAGGCAGCATGTGGTACAGACTCACCCACACACCTGTCTCAATCACTCCTGCATCATACTGACGCAGCTCAGGGGTGTAGAACAGACGCAGGCCAGAGCTGTCCACCACTCCTGACAATGAAACAGTAACACTATAATGAACAGGGTAACTGACTGTTGAACTGTAAAGTGCTGTAGATATCACTTTGGTGTGAATGGGTGAAAAGGGCAAATTACAATAGAGTCAAGGCAGACAAGTCACATTCATTGTTTGTAATGCAACATGACGTGTCCTTGTGGGTGTACTATACCTTGTTGAAAGGCTGGGTTGTCATAGTGGACCTCCATCAGGACATAGACAGGGTCTATTGATGTGCCAATGGACAGTCCAACATGGGGTGGATAGGTGAACCCCTGTAAGGGTAGATTGAGAGGCATCCTGAACATGTCGATAAGGAAGCTTACATGATCACTCTGATACATGGAAATACATGTGGCTAACTAAAAGTTTTACAACACTGAATAAAAAATGACTACAAATTGAAAACAATTGCCCACCTCACCACCAATGGCCCAGGCGAAGACTATCGTCTCACAGGTGAGAAAGGAGTCAGGCATATTTGGATGGTAACATTCATGGCCAGCCTCGAGCTCACTCTCATTCAAGCTGCTATCACATTGATACAACAAAATGTGATGAACCAGGTTTTCATGGCCCCTTTGAATCAAAGGTTCAATCTGTAAACAAAAAGAAGAGAGAAGGAAGTAGTAAATGTTAGTGTATTCTAACCACTGTTGGCTTCTTTTGAATTGCCTACACTTGCCTTAACTTTTACTGCAGTGGGCTAAATCAGGGTCACATAGAGTGTTTCTTGGTAGTCTTAAACAACTCTACATTGAAACAAAAGTATACACACATGGTTATGGGCTTTAAAAAATGAAGACACCTGTACCATGTCAGATATAAAGTTGAAATGTATTCAATTTTGAGTTTGCATCCCAATATTACACTTTATATACATCACAGAAGACTGAAATATAACAAAACCGTTTGACATTGAAACACCGGATTTTTGGCGTAAAAAGTTTATTAATTAGGAAATAATGAAAAATATTCATAACATTCCACCCATGAGGCCACTAGAGGGCGATTTGGTCATTGACTGCAGGAAAGGCTACAAGACCTCAATTATATTGCTCTCAACCGTAGGATACACACAAGAGGGGATAAACAGGATTGGGTTAGCCCTGTTCACCTCAGGATGGAAGTAGTGAAAAATAAATATAAATAATTAAGTTTTTCCTCAATGGGCCTTGGGGCCTCTAGTTTGGACTGAGATTCTGAGAAAAGCAGCTTGCTGCCTGCTGGGTAAACCATGACATCATACTGTGAGGCCTCCTTTCAAATCAGCAGGACACAAGACCACAGCTTGGCCCACGACAACCGTATTAATATTTAGACATTCTTCCTACTTTTTCTCAAATGTATTTATTTATGGTGGAAGCAGCCATGGTAGTCTAAGTTTGAGGTTGAGATTGTACTATGAGAGAGGAAGGATAGCGCCTTTCTTGTTAGATGATTTGGTACACTGTGTAACAAACTCTGCCTTTATAGAACACTTTATAGGCCGCATTCTCTGAATAAAGAACTTTATTGAATAGAATACATCTATCAAACTAAACTAAGCATGTCATGTAGACAGTTTTCAGGAAGTCTTGAAAGTCATAGAGTCATCTAAACAGGAGGTGAGGTTGCGGTGCCCAAGATAATAGAGGGTGGAGTGAGGTGGTGAAAGACCAAATCCCCCAGAGGGACGAAGCAGGTGGAGCGGAGGGTAAGGACAGAAACCGTGACTGAGAAAATATCATGGGAATGGGGGCTTTTTGCAGTGTCAAGATAGGATAATTGTTATAACGTGCACAGGGAAAAATAGATGGGCCTTTTAAACTTTTGTATAAATGCCTTAAAACCCCCAAAAAACTTTAGTAGTGTTTCTTTATAGACCACAGATGAATTGGAGGAGACAGTCCCATTCATATCACACATAATAACAGATGTCTTACATACTGCCTCTCACTCACTGACTCACACATCATGCACACGCACATGAAAACATCTGGGATGGAAAAATAACATTTAATCACAACAGTCCGACTCCCACGTAGCATTTGGATACTGAAATGATTTCCGTTTTACTCTACTAATTCTATAATGGCAACACTTTTAGCATCTTACATTATTTCGTCATGCAAAGAGCTCTCTCCAAAATAAGAGTTCACAACAATATCTGGGCTATCTCACAACAGTTTGTGTTATGTATAGTGGAATCAGATGTTAATAAGGGTAGGATTTTCCAGACCTTTTTTTAATAAGGGTAGAATTTTCAAGACCTTTTCTGAGACCCTTACACAGCTCCTCCGACAAATTGGATATGGACAGTGGAGCATATTTTTCTGATAGAATGGTGCTGGTGTTTCTCATTCTATGATCTAATTGTCATCCTCAGAGTGCAGAACAGAAGAGAAGAGCCAGATGCATGTACAGTAGAGTAAGCTGTGTGCTGGAGGGGGAGTAAGAGAAGAGGGAGGTAGCTATATTTATATATTTCTGGCAGGTTCACTTAATGATGGAAGACTCTTTGTTTTGAGCTCAAGGATTCTAAAGTCAAAGAGGTCATAGCCATGGCAACTTCAAAAGCAACTCTCATGTTTTCTACTTGGCAGAAAAGTCCTACTGTAAGTGATACGACAAATGATAACACGACACAATATAGTACTACTAGTCCATACCATGTTAATATAACTAAGGCCCTTTAGTAAAACATAACAATCTAGTTTCAAAAGCACACTTGGTCTTTATGAAAAATCCCACTAAGGATTAGAATAAGAAATGGATAAGAAATGTGTCATCGTACCATTCTTTTGATTCTAAATTGTACGTGCTACCTCCTTTAATCAAGTGTGTTTTAAAGCCTTTTGGTTTAATACTAGTTCAATTATGTTTGGGATATATCATTTATATAATGGCTCATTTAATACACAGTAGCAATTTGGAGCTGCAAACAAGCGGCAGGTGTGCCTCAGAAGTGGGAGAAATGTCCCCACAGGGGGTACACACTTCAGACAACAGCAACGAAAGAGGAACACACTTCAGACAACAGCAATGAAAAAGGTAGGCAGGCAGACAAATAAAAACTCCGAAATGATCCAGGTGAGATGCCTTTAAAGAAAGGTAAACAAGGTGACTGCATGATGACTGAACTATAGGCTACTCCTTCCTCAATGGAAAGCCTGTTGTCGATTTGCAATACTTTTTCTGCTGTGTTGTTAATATAGCTCAATGAATTCCAAGTATGTACTTACTCTAATGATATGGTGTTTCTTCTGAACCTCCTGGATCTTAAATATCTGACACCAGTAGGTAGTGTCCTTGAATGGCACTGGCACCTATCTTGAGAGAAACAAACAGACAGAGAGACTGATACTGTATTTACTCTCCATAAAATTGGACTGATCATAAATCTCACACAGTGCAAATACAGTCTCAGAGTACAAAAGGTCCTCTGAAGTAATAAAAGCTAGAAGTGGTATCAAGTTTGTTTAAGAGATGGATAGTGGGTGAGAGAAGTAACGTTTTTCTTCTCCAGCTACCACACTTACGTTTATGTTTTGCAAGTTGAAAAAGTCAATCCCAGAGGGAATATTAGCTTTAATTCCTGGGTTGAGTAGCCGCATACTCTTCCTCCCTCTGTTCACTCCATGGTACATCGGTCCTGACGGTTCCACATCCTCACTGTGGTAGGCCCATATCACTCTCACTGTGCTTTCCTGGGCAGACAATACACATACACATCTATTATCTATAAATTAATTTAAGTAAGAAGTACTATGACACCTCGGGCATGAACTGACATTTAAACTAAAAAGCCCACCCACTTAACCCCGTACATACGCACACATTCAAACATGCAAACATCAACCTCCACATTTCCCATAGATAAAACATTTCCACCACCCACGTACCGTGATGTCCTTGTCACTTGTGTCACAGGTCAGGAGGTCCCTGCTGAAAGCCAGGACAGTGTGTGTGCTGTTCTCCCTGCCATACTGCAGCCTGTAGTTCTGCTGCACATCTCTGTGCACTTTTCTGTTGGCGTCTGCAAAGTAATCCTGTTGAAAGGATGCCGGATAAAACACAACTGTCCTGTCTGCAATAACACTGTCCTGAACGAGGGACAAGAGAGCCCTTCAATGTAAATATACATACATAGATGTAAATCACTAAACCTTGGGAAAACCAGTTTTCCAATGACACAATTGAAAGAGCACGGTAGACAATTGCATTACTTTGCTTAATTACTGATCTATTACTGTATTATTACTTTAGCTAGGATGACGACTAGCTAAAGGACTATTACCACAGGACTATGCTTCATTTGTCATGTCAAATGGTTAATCAACTGTCTTGAGCCCCGTTTATACCTGGTAATGACATGCTTCCTTTGTCCTGATCTTCTCCACACTGATTGTAGCCACATTTTTAGACAGGAGTAGACGATTAAAAGACACATTGTGATCTGATTCTGATCAGATCTTCCTGACCACCTCCGGAGGTAGTCAGGCACGCATTGTGGACAGACGGATGTGGACAGTGAAACCATTTAATCGGCACTATCCCACCCTCTAAAATAATTGACAAGGTGGCCCATTGACTTATGCCATCAATATGTCTTCAAATAAATAAAACATATTTTGAAAGAATAGCTGTGAAATTATTTCCATACAGGGATGGACCAGGAAATCTGGTCACAATGCAGACACAGTGGACGGATAACTGACACATCTTAATACCATGTGTAGACACATTTCTGAAAATGTGGGCACAATCAGAATGTAGACAAGATCAGGAAACAGGACACATGTTAGCACCAGGTATAAACAGGGCTTTGTTGTTGGCAAGTGTCTGGCTGTTATGTCTTTCTCCTTATCACTCTCAAGCATTGCTTGTAAATACATAACAACAAACAACAACATTGGCACAAAACTACAGCTGCTGTCTCCTCATAGACCCTGACCCTCTGGTAACACAATGAGAGGGACTGTGTTAGATTGTGTGGCATCATTGCCAGATCCCAGAGGCACAGTGAGCTTCCTGTGATGTCAAATCAAATCAAATCTTATTTGCCACATGCGCCGAATACAACAGGTGTAGACATTACAGTGAAATGCTTACTTACAAGCCATTAACCAACAATGCAGTAAAAAAAAAAGTGTTAAGTAAAAAATAGATAAGTAAAAAATAGCAAATAATTAAAGAGCAGCAGTAAAATAAAATAACAATGCAAATAGTCCGGGTAGCCATGATTAGCTGTTCAGGAGTCTTATGGCTTGGGGGTAGAAGCTGTTAAGAAGCCTTTTGGACCTAGATTTGGCGCTCCGGTACCGCTTGCCATGCGGTAGCAGAGAGAACAGTCAATGATTAGGGTGGCTGGAGTCTTTGATAATTTTTAGGGCCTTCCTCTGATTTTTAGGGCCATCCAGCAATATACTCCTGTGGTCAGGCCTTACCTGGGGGTTTGTTGTGCACACAGGTGGCTATGGCTTTAGGCAGTGCAGTATAGGACTGTGATATGTGTAGCAATATCCAGAACCTTTACCCTGTTGGAGTCAAGCCATGAGTAGCTGGCTGTGCATCACAACAGTTTACCATAAGGCAGTGGGCCATTAGCTTGTTACACCTGACCAATAACTACAAGTTCAATTTGGAGACCCTCAATGACTATTTCATATACTTTTAGGTCCAGAGCCATGTAGTAAGAAATCAGGTAAACAACCAAAATATCCCCAAGTGCCCTGTGAAAATAGTTAAACATAAATGTAATATAAATCATTATTTTCATATAGCTGCACAATTGAACTATGTATGCAATGTTAAAATACCAGTGAAAGTAGCCCACCTCTCATGTAATAAAAAGCAAGGCATAGTTTGCGACACTTTCATTCTGTAAAACCCAGGTGAGTAACATACCTGTAGATACGGTGTCCCATCCGTGACTCCACCAATTACAATATCCGACGACGCCATGGCACCGTTGGGAGATAGACCAAATCCTATATATCCTCTAGTTTCCACTTCTATTTCAAAAGTAATAGTTATCCGGTCAAACCTCCACTTCAGATGATACTTCCCATGAGGGTCCAAGATAGTTGAATGATTAAATCCACTCCCGTGTGCCAAAGTTGCGTAAAACCAAAACGTTGTGAAGAAAACTAGTACTCTACTATATTTCGCGGGTAACATTGTGAACGTTGACAATAAACAACTACAAACAAAAATATCATTGAATGTAGTTTAGATACAAATGACGTTTCTTTAGAAGTGTTTGATTTGCAAGTTGTACGAGGGCGACCAAGCACGCACACCCATCTGCGAGGAAACAGCGCTTCTCTCATCCTCTCACTAGAACCGTTGAAACTTCTGCTGGCCCCTTTGATCTTTATAGAGAGAGACGTCCCACACTGCTACTCCTGTGGTCGGGCCTAACCTGGGGGTTTGTTGTGCATACAGGTGGCTATGGCTTTAGGCAGTACAGTATAGGACCGTCATATGTAGGGGAAAGTGGGGTAAGTTGAGACATTTTGACATTCAGAATCACTCTCAAGGGAAATATAGTATTCGTTCTAACTGAATATATTTCAGGATGTTGTGCATCACTGGAAATAATCAGAATTCATGTAAACATTAGTTTTGAAAACATAGCATGTCCAAAACAAAAGTGGTCTCTCGGCACAACTTACCCCGGGTTCAGCGGCCTATACATGTCTGTACTGAATGAAATATTACCACTACCTTTTTAAAACCACGTGTATCTTTATTTCCCAATCACAATTGAACCTAACCACAATTGCTTTTCGTTTTTTAATCATTTTAAGCATATTTTAACACAGGCTTAACACCTAACAAACACTTTGTACTTTTGTAAACACTTTTAACATAGGCCCTATTATTACCTTATATCCCAGCGTTGGGAAGAAAACACTTACATTTGCTCGACTTGCCATTCGGCTCAACTTACCCCAAGTCAAACATCCACCTCTGGCCTGCTGGCTCCCCTACCTCTGTGGAAGCATAGTTCCCGCTCAGCCCAGTCAAAACTGTTCGCTGCTCTGGCACCCCAATGGTGGAACAAGCTCCCTCACGACGCCAGGACAGCGGAGTCACTCACCACCTTCCGGAGACATTTGAAACCCCACCTCTTTAAGGAATACCTGGGATAGGATAAAGTAATCCTTCTACCCCCACTTACCCCAAACCACCCCCCCCCAAAATTTTTTTTTTACAATATATTGAAAAGACAAAGAATAACCATTAACAATAGAAAAAATAGTCAAAATAAAGATACAAAAATAAAAATATATTGAAAAGAGAAAAAAAAAAAAAAAAATTGTAAAGTGGTGATCCCACTGGCTATAAGGTGAATGCACCTATTTGTAAGTCGCTCTGGATAAGAGCGTTGCTAAATGACGTAAATGTAAATGTAAATGTTAACTATATTTGCCCACACAGCTACAAGGATGCACTTTCATGCTGAAGCTTATAGAGACCAACTGATGTATAGAACAATCTTAAAATTATCCACTTTGGTTTAGATAGAAGCACCATTTGACTTGGTGACCTAACACTGGACCTAACTTGCTTACCACTTTTTCCATATAGTTCCTTTCTTCACAGACTTCATGAAATGATGATCTGTTCCTAAATAATTATTATTTTTGTCTATGGTTTCCTAGAAACAAGGGTGGCTCAACTAACCCTTTTGGCTCAATTTACCCCACTCTCCCCTATCAAATTTCACTGCCTCTCACAACACACAAGGTGCAGAATGGGTGTGTGACAAGCACATCAATTCAGAATGGTGCAACAGGCCAGGGAGCCTGGTTACAATGTATAGTTAGACACTGGATGGATAATCTCTGAACATGTAAGGACATAATAGGCTATTAGCCTAAATGCCAACCAGAGATTAAATAAATAAATTTTAAAAAAGCTTCATGTAAATTTATCAGGCTAAAATAGAATACAGAGGTTGAAAAACAAATAAGAGTATTAAAGTGATGCCACAGATGTTTTGTATAATTTTAGCCAGTAGTTTTTATACAGCATACAGAAGGCCTGTGTTTGTCATATTTCACCACGTCATATAAATACATCTTTCTTAAATTGAATTTCTCCTAAATGTATCAGTGCCATCCAGTCTGTACATGCAGCCTCATCTGTCAAGAGATTGACTGCAGGGAGACAAGCTGGCAAAACTTCCAAGAACTTCCCCTCCTACAGACACACCTACATGCAAGATGAGGCGAGGAAATGAAATCAACCCACTGCATAACATGGTAAATGTGTATATGCAAATTTTCACTAAAATCCTTGTTCAACAAGAATAATGCAATTAAGCATATGAGATTAAGTATACAAATCAGGGTTTTATTCTCCGTTATACAGCTCATTAATCAGGTTTCAGGAGTATATCGTACAGTAAAGCTTCCTCCCTCAGAAATACATATTCAAATATACAACTGGACAAAACCAAGAATCAAAACGATTTTTTAAAATATTATTTCAACTTTGATATATAACTTTTCCATTAAAAACATAAGGCAGATAGAAAGTTGTGTAGCCTAAAGTACGACCAAAACACACTGAATTAAAGAAGAATGATGATTAGTAGGCGAAGGTCAGAAGGGGGAAAAAGGGAAGCCAGTAATTAAGAGCTCATAGCATCCAGTGCTGCACTGCTTTTTATTGAAAAAAGTGAAAACGGAAAGAGCTGTATAAAAACTGATCACATTTTTATGAGGCAGCAAAAACATTCACAGTTCCAAAAAACTTGTATAACCCATTCAGTGCCTTCAGAAAGTATTCACACCCCTTGACTTTTCAACATTTTGTTGTGTTACAGCCTGAATCTAAAATGTATTAAATTTAGATTGTTTTGGGTCACTGGCCTACACACAATACCCCATAATGTCAAAATGGAATTATGTTTTTAGAAATGTTTTCAAGTGAATTAAAAATGAAAAGCTGAAATGTCTTGAGTCAATAAGTATTCAACCCCATTGTTATGGCAAGCCTAAATAAGTTCAGGAGTAAAAATGTGCTTAACAATTCAAATAATAAGTTGCGTGGACTCACTCTGTATGCAATAATAGTGTTTAACATGATTTCTGAACGACTACCTCATCTTTGTACCCCACGCATACAGATCATTGACAGTTCCCTCAGACGAGCAGTGAATTTCAAACACAGATTCAACCGCAAAGACCAGGGAGGTTTTCCAATGCCTCACAAAGAAGGGCACCTAGTGGTAGATGGGTAAAAATAAAAAGCAGACATTGAATATCCCTTTGAGCATGGTGATGTTATTCATTACACTTTGGGATGGTGTATAAATGCACCCAGTCACTACAAAGATACAGGTGTCCTTCATAACTCAGTTGCCGGAGAGGAAGGAAACAGCTCAGGGATTTCACCTAGAGGCCAATGGAGATGTTAAAACTGTTACAGAGTTTAATGGCTGTGATAGGAGAAAACTGATGGATCAACAACATTGTAGTTACTCCACAATACTAACCTAAATGACAGTGAAAAGAAGGAAGCCTGTACAGAATACAAATATTCCTAAACTTGCATCATGTTTGCAATAAGGCACTAATGTAAAACTGCAGAAAATATAGCAAAGAAATTGACTTTATATCCTGAATACAAAGCATTATGTTTGGGGCAAACCCAACACAACACTGAGTACCACTCTTCATATTTTCAAGCATGGTGGTGGTTGCATCATGTTATGCGTATGCTTGTCATCGGCAAGTACTATGGAGTTTTTTTATGATAAAAAGAAACAGAATAGAGCTAAGCACAGGCAAAATCCTAGAGGAAAACCTGGTTCAGTCTGCTTTCCAACAAACACTAAGAGACAAATTCAGCAGCACAATAACCTAAAACACAAGGCCAAATATACACTGGAGTTGATTACCAAGACGACATTGCATGTTCCTGAGTGGCCTAGTTGCAGTTTTGAATTAAATCATCTATGGCAAGAAAATGGCTGTCTAGCAATGATCACCAACCAACTTGACAGAGCTTGAAGAATTGTAAAAATAATAATGTGCAAATATTGTACAATCCAGGTCTGCAAAGCTCTTAGAGACTTACCCAGAAAGACTCACAGCTGTAATCACTTCCAAAGGTGATTCTAACATGTATTGACTCAGGGGTGTGAGCACTTATGAAAATTAGATATGTCTGTATTGAATTTTCAATACATTTTTCAAAAATGTCTAAAAACATGTTTTCACTTTGTCGTTATGAGGTATTATACACTGCTCAAAAAAATAAAGGGAACACTTAAACAACACATCCTAGATCTGAATGAATGACATAATCTTATTAAATACTTTTTTCTTTAGATAGTTGAATGTGCTGACAACAAAATCACACAAAAATTATCAATGGAAATCAAATGTATCAACCCATGGAGGTCTGGATTTGGAGTCACCCTCAAAATTAAAGTGGAAAACCACACTACAGGCTGATCCAACTTTGATGTAATGTCCTTAAAACAAGTCAAAATGAGGCTCAGTAGTGTGTATGGCCTCCACGTGCCTATATGACCTCCCTACAACGCCTGGGCATGCTCCTGATGAGGTGGCGGATGGTCTCCTGAGGGATCTCCTCCCAGACCTGTACTAAAGCATCCGCCAACTCCTGGACAGTCTGTGGTGCAACGTGGCGTTGGTGGATGGAGCGAGACATGATGTCCCAGATGTGCTCAATTGGATTCAGGTCTGGGGAACGGGCGGTCCATAGCATCAGTCCATGCCTTCCTCTTGCAGGAACTGCTGACACACTCCAGCCACATGAGGGCTAGCATTGTCTTGCATTAGGAGGAACCCAGGGCCAACCGCACCAGCATATGGTCTCACAAGGGGTCTGAGGATCTCATCTCGGTACCTAATGGCAGTCAGGCTACCTCTGGTGAGCACATGGAGGGCTGTGCGGCCCCCCAAAGAAATGCCACCCCACACCATGACTGACCCACCGCCAAACCGGTCATGCTGGGGGATGTTGCAGGCAGCAGAACGTTCTCCACGGCGTCTCCAGACTCTGTCACGTCTGTCATATGTGCTCAGTGTGAACCTGCTTTCATTTGTGAAGAGCACAGGGCGCCAGTGGCGAATTTGCCAATCTTGGTGTTCTCTGGCAAATGCCAAACGTCCTGCACGGTGTTGGGCTGTAAGCACAACCCCCACCTGTGGACGTCGGGCCCTCATACCACCCTCATGGAGTCTGTTTCTGACCGTTTGAACAGACACATGCACATTTGTGGCCTGCTGGAGGTCATTTTGCAGGGCTCTGGCAGTGCTCCTCCTGCTCCTCCTTGCACAAAGGCGGAGGTAGCGGTCCTGCTGCTGGGTTGTTGCCTTCCTACGTCCTCCTCCACGTCTCCTGATGTACTGGCCTGTCTCCTGGTAGCGCCTCCATGCTCTGGACACTACGCTGACAGACACAGCAAACCTTCTTGCCACAGCTCGCATTGATGTGCCATCCTGGATGAGCTGCACTACCTGAGCCACTTGTGTGGGTTGTAGACTCCGTCTCATGCTACCACTTGAGTGAAAGCACCGCCAGCATTCAAAAGTGACCAAAACATCAGCCAGGAAGCATAGGAACTGAGAAGTGGTCTGTGGTCACCACCTGCAGAACCACTTCTTTATTGGGGGTGTCTTGCTAATTGCCTATAATTTCCACCTGTTGTCTATTCCATTTGCACAACAGCATGTGAAATGTATTGTCAATCAGTGTTGCTTCCTAAGTGGACAGTTTGATTTCACAGAAGTGTGATTGACTTGGAGTTACATTGTGTTGTTTAAGTGTTCCCTTTATTTTTTTGAGCAGTGTATGTAGTAGTATATGTAGTATTTAATCAATTTTGAATTCAGGCTGTAACAACAAAATATAGAATAAGTCAAGCGGTATGAATACTTTCTGAAGGCACTGTACATATTTATTAAAATAAAAATGCATAAATTGCTTCATAGAAAATAAAGGCTGAAGTGAAGAATGAGGCAGCACTCTGAGGAACCTGACAGCAAAAGTGATGCAAGATATTACATAGTAGATACATAGATATTACATAGTATTGCACAATTCTTGGCCTCTGGTGCATAGACTAGGCTACAGTCCATAATAATTAGCAAGTACTGTATCACACAAGCCTATTCCAGGTCTAAGCGGTGTGTATTCTTCTTACTATAGTATTAGTTCACAATCAATGAAAACATCAATATCTCACAGTAGTCAGGAATGACAAGGGCAATAGCTTGGACAGAAAAACATAGGTCCAAGGAACAAGAGAGTGAACAGTTATACTATATACACTGAGTGTACAAAACATTAAGAATACCTTCCTAATATTGAGTCTCCACCCTTTTACCCTCAGAACAGCCTCAATATGTCAGGGCATGGACTCTACAAAGTGTCAAAAGCGTTCCACACGGATGCTGGCCCATGTTGACTCCAATGCTTCCAACAGTTGTGTCAAGTTGGCTGGATGTTCTTTCGGTGGTGGACCATTCTTGATACACACAGGAAACTGTTGAGCGTGAAAAACCCAGCAGCGTTGCAGTTCTTGACACTCTCAAACCGGTGTGCCTGGCAGCTACTACCATACCCCATTCAAAGGCACTTAAATCTTTTGTCTTGCCCATTCACCCTCTGAATGACACATACACAATCCATGTCTCAATTGTCTCAAGGCATAAAAATCCTTCTTTAACCTGTCTCCTCCCCTTCATCTACACTGTTTGAAGTAGATTTAACAAATGACAACAATAACAAATAGCTTTCACCTGGTCAGTCTGTCATGGAAAGAGCAGGTGTTCTTAATGTTTTGTATACTCAGTGTACGTATCTGTAGATAGTGTACAGTATGTGGCCTCCAAAAGAACAGGCTTTATATATAATATACAATTAAAGGAGTTTATACGTTATTAATTCATTACTGATTGATTATTTGGGCTATGGCACATTGACAAAAAGTTCCCTTATAAAGTAATCTATTTCAATTTCAATTTTTACATCGACACAGCAAAGTGACAGAATGTATGAAACATCTGTCGTCCTTGTCTTCATTTTACAAGCAATGGCCATGAGATTTGTAACTCAAACTTCGCCCTAAATAATAATTAAAATGCCAGGATCAAAGAGTGTGTGAAAAGCATCATCACCCTTTGACTGATGCCCAGATGATTAAACCAACGATAACAGCGAGAACCACCAGAACGGCAATGAGAATGCAGATCTTCTTCCTAGATTTGCGCTGAAAGGGTAAAAATAAACACTTAATGTTATACGCAAATAGATTTGATGCAGCATTGTAAAATATACAGAAAAATCATCATGATTTATTCACCCTCAAAATAATGATTCCCATGTTACCTACCTGATAGTCTGCAGCCTGTGCTAACTGCTGGGTGGCATTCTGAACATGAAGGTCAGCAGTTTCGACATTGGCCTCTATACTGTCTAGGGGTATAAAATGCACAGTGAAAGGGTAATTCTCTCACAGAAGTTCAGTTTTGGTTGAATGTTTTCTTTAAAATTTTGCTGAAAAGTGAGAACTCTAACTTTTGACTTGTACACCATGACGATGATTAGCCTCTCAAAGGATGCCAGCATCACGTTAACAGCACTTCAGTCTTAACCGTGGGACATAATCATGTGTGTCTAGCGTAGCTGTTGGTCATCCTCGGTTCCCAGAACACTCAGACATTTGGCCTTAAAGACTCCTAAACATGCAGTATTTCATCCCTGTAGGCGTATGCTGTCAATGTTTTGAAAGTGGAGACGTTTATAACATAGTCAGAAGTTTAGAGGAGTAAATTACTGAATGGATGCTTACCGATCATATCCCCTTGCTCATGGACCATCATTCCCAAGTCCTTAAATATTTCATTGATATCTGTAATATCAGACTGAAAAAAAAACAAGCATTGAATACACAGACAACATAACAAATTAAATGGACTGGATATAAATCCATTATGTAAGTGTGATTTGCAGGATAGCATAAGGCAGTGATCATCAACTAGATTCAGCCGCGGGCCAATTTTTTCTTGAGCGGATGGTCGGGAGGCCGAAACATAATTACAAATAATTTGTAGACTGCAAATTGACAGCAAGAAGCCCAATATTTGACTAAAACATACTAATTTCAAACCTTGCTTGCATTGGTATAAGATCAAGTGTCTCTCTATTATGCGTTGGAATACTTGGGAACAGATTTCCAAAATTAAAATCACTTGGAGCTGATTTTATGGTGTTTTCTGTTATGTCCAACAATGCAATTTGTTTTATAAAACCACCAGCGGGCCAAATTCGGAACCCTGGCATAAGGTGTGCTTACTGTATTGGTTACGGTATAAGATCATTTAAAGGATAATTTAAAGGAACGAAAGACCTCCAGCAAAATCATAATTTAACCCTGAATCTTGTTCACTAATGGTGAGTAATAGACGAGTGCTATCACCTCTAGCTGTCTGATGGAAGTCTCTCTCTCCTGGATGAGCTGCAGGTCCTCTTCAGTGATGGCCACCTCCTGGGACTGTGACTGGACCTGGGCCTGCCCCCCACTGTAGAGTCAGACATGGGAAAGACGTGGTGAACCACCCAAAGCAAACACTCACCTCCCACTCCGTCTGGCTGGGCCAGAGAGAGATGGGCCTGAAGGGCCTGTAAAGACTGACATGTTAACACTAAAGTGGATGTTTAGATAAACTAGCAGTTAGAGAATAGTCAACTGTGGGTTTTGTATGTGAATATTCATTTGATGGTTAAGCGATTCATAGTAGAACAAAAGGTCAGGACATAAAATATAGAGCCAAACCCCAACAGACCAAATAAAAAATAATAGTCTCTTGACTGTAAAAGAGGATGTTCACATTCTCCACAACTGTAGGCAATAATAGAGGAATCAGGATTATGAACTCTGGGTAAATCCATGAAATATGAGTGTCTACAGTGGTTCCTTCCTCTGTGGTCGGCATGCAGTTTTATGTGGCGACAGACAGTGGGATGTATTTAGACAGCTTGCACAGTATGTTTAGTGCAGCATGTATGTGTACTATTTCACTCAAAAAGCACGAGACCACTGAAATGCTGAACTCTGACCTTTCAAAGGAGTTTCCATTTCCTCCAAAGCTGTCGTCAGGATAGCCACCCTGAGGGTGGACAGAACAGTCAGCTTGATGCACTCTAATTTCAGGTGGGATTTGATTCATGGCTTTATGTGTAAAGTAACTAAAGTTTGGGAGGAAAGAAACATTTACATTTCCTCCCCTCTCGACAACCAAATAATTGACTACTCCTCCTATCACCAATCAATGGCTGTATATACACTACATGACAAAAAGTATGTGGACACCTGCTCGTCGAACATCTCATTCCAAAATCATGGGCATTAATATTGAGTTGATCCCCCTTTGCTGCTATAACAGCCTCCACTCTTCTGGGAAGGCTTTCCACTAGATGTTGGAACATTGCTTCTATCTTCTATTCAGCCACAAGAGCATTAGTGAGGTCGGGGACTGATGTTGGGTGATTAGGCCTGGCTAACAGTTGCCTTTCCAATTCATCCCAAAGGTGTTCGATGGGGTTGAGGTCAGGGCTCTGTGCAGGCCAGTTAAGTTCTTCCACACCGATCTCGACAAACTATTTCTGTATGGACCTCGCTTTGTGCAAGGGGGCATTGTCATGCTGAAACAGGAAAAGGCCTTCCCCAAACTGTTGCCACAAAGTTGGAAGCACAGAATCGTCTAGAATGTAATTGTATGCTGTAGCGTTAAGATTTCCCTTCACTGGAACTAAGGGGCCTAGCACGAACCATGAAAAATAGCCCCAGACCATTACTCCTCCTCCACCAAACTTTACAGTTGGCACTATACATTCAGGCAGGTAGCGTTCTCCTGGCATCCGCCAAACCCAGGTTCGTCCGTAGGACTGCCAGATGGTGAAGCGTGATTCATCACCCCAGAGAACGCGTTTCCACTGCTCCAGAGTCCAATGGCTGCAAGCTTTACACCACTCCAGCCGACGCTTGGCATTGCACATGGTGATCTTAGGCTTGTGTGCGGCTGCTCGGCCATGGAAACCCATTTCATGAAGCTCCCGACGGACAGTTCTTGTGCTGACGTTGCTTTCAGAGGCAGTTTGGAACTCGGTAGTGAGTGTTGCAACTGAGAACAGACGATTTTTACACACTATGCACTTCAGAACTCAGCGGTCCCGTTCTGTGAGCTTGTGTGGCCTACCACTTCGCGGCTGAGCCGTTGTTGCTCCAAGACGATTTAAACTTCCCAATAACAGCACTTACAGTTGACCGGGTCAGCTCTAGCAGGGCAGAAATTTGACGAACTGATTTGCTGGAAAGGTGGCATCCTATGACGGTGCCATGTTGAAAGTCACTGAGCTCTTCAGTAAGGCCATTCAACTGTCAATGCTTGTCTATGGAGATTGAATGGCTGTGCGCTCAATTTTATACACCTGTCAGCAACGGGTGTGGCTGAAATAGCCGAATCCATTAATTTGAAGGGGTGTCCACATACTTTTGTGTGTGCATACATACATACAGTGGGGAAAAAAAGTATTTAGTCAGCCACCAATTGTGCAAGTTCTCCCACTTAAAAAGATGAGAGAGGCCTGTAATTTTCATCATAGGTACACGTCAACTATGACAGACAAAATAAGAAAAAAAAATCCAGAAAATCACATTGTAGGATTTTAATGAATTTATTTGCAAATAATGGTGGAAAATAAGTATTTGGTCAATAACAAAAGTTTCTCAATACTTTGTTATATACCCTTTGTTGGCAATGACACAGGTCAAACGTTTTCTGTAAGTATTTTGGCCCATTCCTCCATGCAGATCTCCTCTAGAGCAGTGATGTTTTGGGGCTGTCGCTGGGCAACACAGACTTTCAACTCCCTCCAAAGATTTTCTATGGGGTTGAGATCTGGAGACTGGCTAGGCCACTCCAGGACCTTGAAATGCTTCTTACGAAGCCACTCCTTCGTTGCCCGGGCGGTGTGTCTGGGATCATTGTCATGCTGAAAGACCCAGCCACGTTTCATCTTCAATGCCCTTGCTGATGGAAGGAGGTTTTCACTCAAAATCTCACGATACATGGCCCCATTCATTCTTTCCTTTAGACAGATCAGTCGTCCTGGTCCCTTTGCAGAAAAACAGCCCCAAAGCATGATGTTTCCACCCCCATGCTTCACAGTAGGTATGGTGTTCTTTGGATGCAACTCAGCATTCTTTGTCCTCCAAACACGACAAGTTGAGTTTTTACCAAAAAGTTATATTTTGGTTTCATCTGACCATATGACATTCTCCCAATCCTCTTCTGGATCATCCAAATGCACTCTAGCAAACTTCAGACGGGCCTGGACATGTACTGGCTTAAGCAGGGGGACACGTCTGGCACTGCAGGATTTAAGTCCCTGGCGGCGTAGTGTGTTACTGATGGTAGGCTTTGTTACTTTGGTCCCAGCTCTCTGCAGGTCATTCACTAGGTCCCCCCGTGTGGTTCTGGGATTTTTGCTCACCGTTCTTGTGATCATTTTGACCCCACGGGGTGAGATCTTGCGTGGAGCCCCAGATTGAGGGAGATTATCAGTGGTCTTGTATGTCTTCCATTTCCTAATAATTGCTCCCACAGTTGATTTCTTCAAACCAAGCTGCTTACCTATTGCAGATTCAGTCTTCCCAGCCTGGTGCAGGTCTACAATTTTGTTTCTGGTGTCCTTTGACAGCTCTTTGGTCTTGGCCATAGTGGAGTTTGGAGTGTGACTGTTTGAGGTTGTGGACAGGTGTCTTTTATACTGATAACAAGTTCAAACAGGTGCCATTAATACAGGTAACGAGTGGAGGACAGAGGAGCCTCTTAAAGAAGAAGTTACAGGTCTGTGAGAGACAGAAATATTGCTTGTTTGTAGGTGACCAAATACTTAGTTGTCACCATAATTTGCAAATAAATTCATTAAAAATCCTGAAATGTGATTTTCTGTATTTTTTTCCCTCAATTTGTCTGTCATAGTTGACGTGTACCTATGATGAAAATTACAGGCTTCTCTCATCTTTTTAAGTGGGAGAACTTGCACAATTGGTGGCTGACTAAATACTTTTTTCCCCCACTGTACATACATACATACATACATACATACATACATACATACATACATACATACATACATACATACATACATACATACATACATACACATATATATAATATATATATATATATATATATATATATATATATATATACACATACATACATACACACACACACACATACACACAGTGCATTCGGAAAGTATTCAATGCCCTTGACTTTTTCCACATTGTTACATTACAGCCTTATTCTAAAATGGATTAAATCAAAAAAAATTAATCCTCAATCTATACACAATACCCAATAATGACAAAGCGAAAACAGGTTTTTAGACATTTTTGCAAATGTATTAAAAACAAAAAACAGAAATACCTTATTTACATAAGTATTCAGACCCTTTGCTATAAGACTCAAAATTGAGCTTAGGTGCATTTTGTTTCCGTTTAACATCCTTGAGATGTTTCTACAACAAGTCCACCTGTGGTAAATTAAATTGATTGGACATGATTTGGAAAGGCACACACTGTCTATATAAGGTCCCACAGTTGACAGTGCATGTCAGCGCAAAAACCAAGCCATGAGGTCGAAGGAATTGTCCGTAGAGCTCCGAGACAGGATTGTGTCGAGGCACAGATCTGGGGACGGGTACCAAAAAATGTCTACAGCATTGAAGGTCCAAGAACACAGTGGCCTCCATCATTCTTAAATGGAAGAAGTTTGAAACCACCAAGAATCTTCCTAGAGCTGGCCGCCCGGCCAAACTGAGCAATCGGGGGAGAATGGCCTTGGTCAGGGAGATGACCAAGAACCCGATGGTCACTCTGAAAGAGCTCCAGAGTTCCTCTGTGGAGATGGGAGAACATTCCAGAAGGACGACCATCTCTGCAGTACTCCACCAATCAGGCCTTTATGGTAGAGTGTCCAGACGGAAGCCACTCCTCCGTAAAAGGCACATGACAGCCTGCTTGGAGTTTGCCAAAAGGCACCTAAAGACTCTCTGACCATGACAAACAAGATCTGGTCTGATGAAACCAAGATTGAACTCCTTGTCCTGAATGCAAAGCATCACGTCTGGAGGAAACCTGGCACCATTCCTACGGTGAAGCATGGTGGTGGCAGCATCATGCTGTGGGGATGTTTTTCAGCGGCAGGGAATAGGAGACTACTCAGGATCGAGGGAAAGATGAACAGAGCAAAGTATAGAAAGATCCTTGATGAAAACCTGCTCCAGAGCGCTCAGGACCTCAGACTGGGGCAAAGGTTCACCTTCCAACAGGATAACTACCCTAAGCACACAGCCAAGGCAACGCAGGAGTGGATTCGGGAGAAGTCTCTGAATGTTCTTGAGTGGCCCAGCCAGAGCCCGGATTTGAACCTGATCTAACATCTCTGGAGAGACCTGAAAATAGCTGTGCAGTGACGCTCCCATCCAACCTGGCAAAGCTTGAGGATCTGCAGAGAGGAATGGGATAAAATCTCCAAATACAGGTGTGCCAAGCTTGTAGCGTCATACCCAAGAAGAATCAAGGCTGTCATCGTTGCCAAAGGTGCTTCAACAAAGTACTGAGTAAAGGGTCTGAATACTTATGTAAATGTGATATTTCAGTTATCTTTTTAATACATTAGCACACAATTCTAAAACTCTGTTTTTGCTTTGTCATTATGGGGTATTGTGTGTAGATTGATGAAAAAACAAAACAATTTAATCAATTTTAGAATACGCCTGTAAAGTAAAAAAGTGTGTATCTATGTACATACAGAACCAGTCAAAAGTTTGGACACACCTACTCATTCAAGCGTTTTTCTTTATTTTTACATTGTAGAATAATAGTGAACACATCAAAACTATGAAAAACACATATGGAATCAGGTAATAACCCAAAAAGTGTTAAAGAAATCAAAATATATTTTCTCTCTCAACCAGCTTCATGAGGAATGCTTTTCCAACAGTCTCGAAGGAGTTCCACATATGCTGAGCACTTGTTGGCTGGTTTTCCTTCACTCTGCGGTCCAATTCATCCCAGACCATCTCAATTGGCTTGAGGTCGGGAGATTGTGGAGGCCAGGTCATCTGATGCAACACTCCATCACTCTCCTTCTTGGTCAAATAGCCCTTTCACAGCCTGGAGGTCTGATAGTCCCACTAAGCGCAAACCAGATGGGATGGTGTATCGCTGCAGATTGCTGTGATAGCCATGCTGGTAAAGTGTGCCTTGAATCCTAAATAAATCACAACAGTGTCACCAGCAAAGCACCCCCACACCATCACACCTCCTCCTCCATGCTTCACGGTGGGAACCACACATGCGGAGATCATCCGTTCACCTAGTCTGCATCTCACAAAGACACGGCGGTTGAAACCAAAAATCTCAAATTTGGACTCATCAGACCAAAGGACAGATTTCCACCGGTCTAATGTCCATTGCTCGTGTTTCTTGGCCCAAGCAAGTCTCTTCTTCTTATTGGTGTCCTTTAGTAGTGGTTTCTTTGCAGCAATTCGACCATGAAGGCCTGATTCACGCAGTCTCTTCTGAACAGTTGATGTTGAGATGTGTCTGTTAATTGAACTTTGTGAAGCATTTATTTGGGCTGCAATTTCTGAGGCTGGTAACTGTAATTAACTTATCCTCTGCAGCAGAGGTAGCTCTTGGTCTTCCTTTCCTGTGGCGGTCCTCATGAGAGCCAGTTTCATCATAGCGCTTGATGGTTTTTGCGACTGCACTTGAAGAAACGTTCAAAGTTCTTGAAATGTTCCAGATTGACTATCCTTCATGTCTTAATGTAATGATGGACTGTCATTTCTCTTTGCTTATTTGAACTGTTTTTGCCATAATATGGACATGGTCTTTTACCAAATAGGGCTATCTTCTGTATACCCCCCCTACCTTGTCACAACACAACTGATTGGCTCAAGAAGGAAATACATTCCTCAAATTAACTTTTAACAAGGCACATCTGTTAATTGAAATGCATTCCAGGTGACTACCTCATGAAGCTGGTTGAGAGAATGCCAAGAGTGTGCAAAGCTGTCATCAAGGCAAAGGTGGATATTTGAAGAATCTCAAATATAAAGTATATTTTGATTTGTTTAACACTTTTTTGGTTACTACATGATTCCATGTGTTATTTCATAGTTTTGATGTCTTCACTATTATTCTACAATGTAGAAAATAGTTTTAAAAAATTAAGAAAAGCCCTGGAATGAGTAGGTGTGTCCAAACTTTTGACTGGTACTGTAATATATATATATATATATATACTGCTCAAAAAAATAAAGGGAACACTTAAACAACACCTCCTAGATCTGAATGAATGAAATAATTTTATTAAATACTTTCTTCTATACATAGTTGAATGTGCTGACAACAAAATCACACAAAAATTATCAATGGAAATCAAATGTATCAACCCATGGAGGTCTGGATTTGGAGTCACCCTCAAAATTAAAGTGGAAAACCACACTAAAGGCTGATCCAACTTTGATGTAATGTCCTTAAAACAAGTCAAAATGAGGCTCAGTAGTGTGTGTGGCCTCCACGTGCCTGTATGACCTCCCTACAACGCCTGGGCATGCTCCTGATGAGGTGGTGGATGGTCTCCTGAGGGATCTCCTCCCAGACCTGGACTAAAGCATCCGCCAACTCCTGGACAGTCTGTGGTGCAACGTGGCGTTGGTGGATGGAGCGAGACATGATGTCCCAGATGTGCTCAATTGGATTCAGGTCTGGGGAACGGGCGGGCCAGTCCATAGCATCAATGCCTTCCTCTTGAAGGAACTGCTGACACACTCCAGCCACATGAGGTCTAGCATTGTCTTGCATTAGGAGGAACCTAGGGCCAACCGCACCAGCATATGGTCTCACAAGGGGTCTGAGGATCTCATCTCGGTACCTAATGGCAGTCAGGCTACCTCTGGCGAGCACATGGAGGGCTGTGCGGCCCCCCAAAGAAATGCCACCCCACACCATGACTGACCCACCGCCAAACCGGTCATGCTGGAGGATGTTGCAGGCAGCAGAACGTTCTCCACGGCGCCGCCAGACTCTGTCACATCTGTCACGTGCTCAGTGTGAACCTGCTTTCATCTGTGAAGAGCACAGGGCGCCAGTGGCGAATTTGCCAATCTTGGTGTTCTCTGGCAAATGCCAAACGTCCTGCACGGTGTTGGGCTGTAAGCACAACCTCCACCTGTGGACGTCGGGCCCTCATACCACCCTCATGGAGTCTGTTTCTGACCGTTTGAGCAGACACATGCACATTTGTGGCCTGCTGGAGGTCATTTTGCAGGGCTCTGGCAGTGCTCCTCCTGCTCCTCCTTGCACAAAGGCGGAGGTAGCGGTCCTGCTGCTGGGTTGTTGCCCTCCTACGGCCTCCTCCACGTCTCCTGATGTACTGGCCTCTCTCCTAGTAGCGCATCCATGCTCTGGACACTACGCTGACAGACACAGCAAACCTTCTTGCCACAGCTCGCATTGATGTGCCATCCTGGATGAGCTGCACTACCTGAGCCACTTGTGTGTGTTGTAGACTCCGTCTCATGCTACCACTAGAGTGAAAGCACCGCCAGCATTCAAAAGTGACCAAAACATCAGCCAGGAAGCATAGGAACTGAGAAGTGGTCTGTGGTCACCACCTGCAGAACCACTTCTTTATTGGGGGTGTCTTGCTAATTGCCTATAATTTCCACCTGTTGTCTATTCCATTTGCACAACAGCATGTGAAATTTATTGTCAATCAGTGTTGCTTCCTAAGTGGACAGTTTGATTTCACAGAAGTGTGATTGACTTGGAGTTACATTGTGTTGTTTAAGTGTTCCCTTGATTTTTTTGAGCAGTGTATATATGTGTGTGTGTGTATATACACACACACAATATATACATACACACACACCCCATCCAGTACCTTCAACACTTTTCCAGCATTAAACAAAAACGTTCATATATGTTGAAGGTGTGGTCTGTACCAGAGGAGGCTGGTGGGAGGAGCTATATGAGGATGGGCTCATTGTAATGGCTGGAATGGAATATATGGAACGGTTTGAAACACTTCCAAAATATGGAAACCACGTTTGAATCCGTTTCATTAATTCCGTTCAAGCCATTACAATTAGCCAATCTTCCTATAGCTCCTCCCACCAGCCTCCTCTGGTCTGTACCTAGTGAAGTTTGTGTAAATTATTGATGATTACTAACCGACACTCTGGACTCGGCACGGACTCTGGCAACAAACGCCTTCTCTTTCTGAGCAGCCTGCCTCTGTGTCTTTTGGAAATTGGCCAGTGCATTGGAGAAGTCATTGATAAATCGGTCTTTCTGGATCTTTCTCTGGCGCTAGAAGAAAGGTATATGTAAACAAATGAGTTAACATCACATACAGTGCCATAGCATCGCTCTTTAATCTCAACCGATTGAGAATTATTCTCATGCCCTACTTTACATAAGCAGAAGTGAAATACTAACTCATTATGTGACTTATATGTAAAACATTTAAATACATTTTCGTTAGCAAGAAATACAACAAGAATGTGTTTGCAATTAAACCCATCATTTGTCTTTCCATTGTCTAAATTAAACATCCAGGACAGTACTGAAAAACAGAAAACGTGGCTGTTTGTAAGAATTGCTTTATTCATGTCATGGCATGCATTCCAACCTTTCCTTATGAGCTCTACAAGAATGCATTAATTGCTTTTTTTACCACACACAAACACAAATTCCTTCAACACTGTGGGATTTCTGCTGTCAGGAAAAATGTTCATGTAGTGTGCTTTTGGCCTTCCTTGAACGAGAAGGCACAACTACAAAAACAGGAAATAAAGGCCTAATGTGCTTAAGAATAGTGCACCAGCTGTATATATAAATAAAGGCGGATCTGAAAGTAACCGCCCCGTTCCACCCCCCTGGAACCCTCTTACGCAGAGCTAATGATCCGAAACACGTTTTGCGCATGCTTTTCTTTATTTCTACATTTTTGTGGTCACCCTTCCTTCACATTTCTCACTGTCAATCGTGAATGATAATTCTTCAAGTTTTACCGGTGAAATGTCCATGCAGCATCTGCATGCCAACCATTTGATCTCATTCACAATTTCATGAGAATATGCACAGTGTTGCTCTGGATAAGAGCGTCTGCTAAATGACTAAAAATATAAATGTAAATGTGTTGCACAGTACAGTGTTGTTTTGAAGTACAGTGTTGTTTTGAATTATGTACAGCAGTGGTCACCAACCTTTTCTGAGTCAAGATCACTTTCCTAGTCAAAAAGCAAGCAGAGATCTACCGCTCAGATGTATTTTTAAACATGACTTAAAACATTTTACATTAACCTAATAAAAACAGTTATGTAGGCCTAATACATTATCACAGCATATTGGCTAAATGCCTGTCCTGACAATATTGTTATTTTCAGACCATATTATATTTCAAAACTTGAGCTTTGATAACAAAACAGATCTGCTAGTGTAGCACTTGCGAGGCACTGTGGACCACATATTGAAATAATTTGCTTTTTTATTTTACTGGACTGATGGTACCTGCATCTGATGGTCATGGTGCTTTCAAGACAACTGGGAACTAGAGAAAAAAAAACGAGGTCAACTGATGATCTTCAGGTCGGAATGTCTGAGCTTTAGAAAGATGCCAGAGTTTCCGACTTGGAATTCCGAGTTGGATGACCATTCAAAACGATTGTTCCCAGTCGGATATCGTTTTCAAATATTGGAATAAAACAAGCTTATATTTTGGGTTCTGATGGGGTATGACAGCTGAACTAAGCTCATGGAGGTATGTATAAGTTATATTCTTCAAGAATCAATGGGTACATATAATTTAGAAGTCCAAAAATTGATGTAGCAACTGCTGATTGCCCCTTTAATGACAAATGCATTCATAAAAGGTGAACGGAGGGCACTATTACAAGTGCAATCATTTTTTAATATTTGTATTATTGACAAGTTGTGTTGATTGAGACTTGAGACTCACAGGGAACAGGTCATCCAGGGATCAGATTGGACAACACAGGCCAGCCCACCTAACATGTGACCAATGAGCACTGAGGTGCTGTTCACCTGGCGGTTTTCACATTATTGTGTGAATAACGTTTTCTCTGCTATTGCACATTACAGTACAAGTTCCATGCAGTGCACACAGTTACTATACGTTTTGTTGCTTGTTGTACAAAAAACGTGTTGAGTACCTGTTCAGTTGTGACAGGCAAAGAGCCAAATTGCTTCACACATCGGTCTGTTTCTTTGGCAAGGTGGTTGACATTCTGCTGTTTCTGCTGCCTACATTTGAAAAGTCAAAAGCCTCATTTAGATAATATTCCATTGTAATACATATACCTGCATGTAAAAACATCTTTAAAAGTTACACACTACAAGAGACTTCTTCAGATTAAAACAGAACTCACAGTTGCTGTCTGAGCTCAGTTGTGTCTTGTTGTGTTCCCAACTTATTCACAATACTCTGTATTTCAGATGCTGGTAGAAACAAGGCACAAATATTGTGACACAAAACAATATGTGTATTCATTCAATAGGACAAGTATTACATTTGAAAGTTCATTCAAAAGAAAAATATGATGTAGATATATTATTACTTTAGAGTTGATCCCCAAGGCCTCATAGGATATGTATAGTAGTAGCCTATTGGCCTACTAAATTCAGAGGATATGACAAAACTTGAGTGTACTGATTTACATGTTGTGGTTGTGTGCACAGTTTGTCCATGTGTATCAATTACTTTGTTGTGTTATCTTCTGGATGTTGGAGATTATTGTCTGAGTAAGCACATTTGGGTCCTGCACTTTTCCGTACTGGTAGGCCATGGTTGACACATTGGGAGTCTCCCCAATACCTTGAAATATAAAATGTTACAAGTATTATTGTCAGCCACTCACATGGCTTGCCTCAGTTCACTTCTATTCACTCCCACCTGCTTTATGTATTATGTACACTCATGCTGTCGCCAAAGTGGGAATCGTTTTGAAATGAATAAACCTACATACTGTATTCATGAATGTTGAGGAACATAATAATAGGCCATCAATAAGGGAAACACATGAATGTACACAAGAGTAGTCTACAAGAGGTTAGTTGAAGTTCATCAGCCAGCCGTCCAATCAGATTTAGGCCTTGGAAGAGGGCACAGGTAAGGCAAGCCAACACCCTCAACCTGAAAAACTAGGCCAGAAAAATGCGGAAATACAAACGCCTGAATAACCTGGCATGGATGAATGTCAAATACGCCCCCTCCCACTGCGTCTATTTGCTACTCATAAATCATCATATACATTTCATCAAACGCAAAAGACGTGAATGGTAAAGTAGCCATGCTAATTTAGATTAAGGAAATACTGCAGCGTACAGAGATAATGATACATTGTTGTATCTCCAGTTGCACAAATGCTGGCAACTGTCTCAGTAAACATTAAAATCCCTTTCAGGTCGCATGAATTACAGCTTAATTGTCGCTTGTCCAAACATTGCTGATGGTAAACTAGGCAAATTTCGGACAACACTAAATATTAGTTTTCCATGTTTCGTTTACCTTTAATGAGTTCTGTCTTGACAGTCTGCTCCGCCTACACTCTGCTTCCTGAAATGTGTGTCATGCTTTTCTAGTCACATGATCCACTCTATGCTCTGCTTTACAGCAAAGATCAAATCAGGGTGGAAGAGGCGAAGTGAGAGGATTTACTCCGCCCAAAATCTGTCCACGAAATATTTGCATGTAGGTCAATGAGAATGTCGAATTTGGTCAACAAAAATGTAATTGCTAATTTGTTACGTCTTCCTTATTTGAACGACTAGAAGTTTCATAATGGTTAGGTTGTCATTTCGGTAAGTTTGAAAAAACTACTTTATATCGAAATTGTGCCTAACCTAATATAGCAGGCGTAAAAGAAACTCCTGAAACTAGATCCCCCACATTCTGGTCTTGACAAGATAAAAAAAAAAAAACATTCACTGTCAGGGGAGGTTCTCTTCTGCACTGTTCAACCAATCCAGTAAATGTGGACGAGGAGTTCAGATGTGGTGTCGCCTTGTTAACGTCCAAAAAAGTGACGTCACCGGCTCTCGCCTCCATTTCCACTACAAACCGGAACATCCGGTTATAATCAGCCCCGCCGAGTTCCGCTGAGGCTAAATTGTGCCTGTTGTTTAGATTCGTATCTACCCTATCAATGGCTAGAATGGTCCTATTGATCTCGCCTCCTCCTGCCTGCCTTCCATCTTTGAGGACATTAATTTCCAACGTTAGAGCTGCTGTCTTCTCACTATAGGAGATCATCTTTGATCAAATGTCTAACTCAGACCATTGGACTGGAGCTGGGTACCTGTTATTGTTTAGTTCAACACTAGCCATTAGACACAAGATGATTGAGTAAAAAAATATCTAAATACACATTTTATGTACTTAATGACACTTTATTCTAAGGTAGGCCTTATGCTACATTCAAAATACAATAAGAAAGGATTTATAAGTTAAACACAGTTACATGAAAAAGACCAGGCAAATATCAACAGCAGTACAATGTGCAGAAGAGGTTTCTCAAATGCTTCTCTTCATTTGCCTCCTTGAACACACTATCCAAGGTGGACAGGTCATTGCTTAGGTAAAAAAAAAAATGCCACTAAGCATGAATTGAGACTCTTTTCTGGGAAGTAAATTATAGTAGCTGGACCATTCATCCGCTGCCCAAAAAAGGGCCATTATGAAACTTTTTTTTTGCATGAAGTTAGCTACATACTGTTCACACACAGTTTTACATTATATTGATGTAGCTTTACAATAGATCATGTAGTAGCAAATACATTTATATAGGAGGAATTTGTATTGAATATTTTCAATGTGACAATGAGATTAAGACATTTTCGAAACCACGGATAAAACAGTGCATAGATGATTGGATTTGCAGTATAATTAAAGTAACCCAGCCATATAAACACTCCAAAGAGAGTGGGTGGTGTGCTAAAGTTTGTGTATGGATCAACTATGGAATTAACAAAGAAAGGCAGCCAGCAAAAGATGAAAACACCCACCATAATGCCTAAAGTTTTAGCTGCTTTCTGCTCTGACCCTTGAGACACCACACCTCTACCCCCCTCATTGTATTTATTTTGGCTGTCTTCAATCTTTTTTACATGTTGTTTTGCCACCAAAAATATTTTGGTATACAAACCCACTATTACAGAGCATGGAAAGAAAAAGGCTATCAATGTGTCTAGGGCGCCCCACAGTGCATTAAAGAAAATATTACAGCTTCCCAGGCAGTATATGGATGTAATTAATTCATCCATAAATGTAAATGTAAATGTAATCCAGTCCTCTCACATTTCCTTTTGAATATAGTAGGCCATAGGAGTACAATGCAGCAACTGCCCAACTGGTAAAAATCATGAGCCATGCAATTGGTATAGTAATCTTGGTGGAATAGCGAAGTGGATTGCACACCGCCTCATATCGATCTATGGCTATGAATACCAGGTGAAAGATTGAAACAGATGTGAGGAACATATCAGAATGCAGGAAACAAAAAGCATCTCCAAAGTACCAGCAGCCCTCCGCAGCCCTCACTGTACTAAAAGGCATCACAGTCACTCCAAGTAGCAGGTCAGCAACTGCCAAAGACATTTTAAGCATGTTAGTTGGCGTGTGGAGCAGTTTTATGTGAGCAATGGAGATTATAACCACACCATTCCCTAGAATAGTGACCAGCATAACTGAAACAAACAAAAAGTAGGAAGTAATTTGAGCTCCTTCACTTAAGATTTCTCTGGTGCAGGAGGCATTTGATTCTGGGTAACAAAACAGATTTGGATCAAGATGTTGATGAGATCGGATATCCATTGGCAAAAACAAAACAAAAACACATTCAAGTTAGAGCTGATCACTTGCTACTGTAGTCACAGGTGCATTAGAGCTGATCACTTGCTACTGTAGTCACAGGTGCAGGTGTGTAAGTGGTGCTGAATCAAGCACAGTCTTTTTAGAAGAATGACAGTATTTATATACTGTATTGGTCATATTTTGGGTACACCCCTTTCCCGGCTACCAGCCAGTTATAATAGGTTAAATGATTTACATCTGTTTATATTATATGTGTGTATTCAAGCAATGTACAACAGTATGATAGTGTCGTAAAATAGTGATGTCATGAGCTCTAAACACAGAATTACTGTTCCAGCAATAGGCACTAGGAGGAGACAAAGAACACTATTTAACAAGGTGACAGGCACAAGTATCACAAGCACTGAAACAAATTTATTTCAGGCAAACAGCTTTATTTGAAACAGGTTAAAAGCAGCTTTTGTTACATTTTCACTCAAGCTTTATAACTTTTAGTTGCATAACTGTCATATGTTACATCCCATCATAATTCATATATTTATTTGAACACACATCATACAGTGTAAACTGAAACTTTACTCAGAATACAATCTAAATCTACACGAACCACTGTGAAAGACGTGACCACTGATGATGATTCTCAAAGCCCTCCTGAACCAAGTGTAAAAGAAAGCATAGACAACAGGGTTAAAAGCAGAGTTCAAATATCCAAACCAAACCAGGGTATCTCCCAACAGCGGTGGGATGGAGTACAGTACGAAAGGGTCAATGATGAGGCACAAGGAAAAGGGACTCCAGCAGATTAGAAACACTCCCACTACTATTGCCAGAATATTTGCCCCTCGTCTCTCTCTACGTCCAGAGTCTGCCTCTTTAAACTGACGAGATAAATCTTTAATGGACCTGGCCTGAGTCCTGGCAACCCAATATATCTTGGAGTATATACAAATCAAGATCAGGCCTGGGATGTAAAAACAGAAGGACGATGCTACTACAGCCGCCACTGGACTAAAGAACACATAACAGCCTCCAATACACTTGACATGTGTTTCATAGAAATCCTCCCTGCCTTTTAGATTCATCTCAGAGAAGATCATTCCATAAGCAAAAATGGCAGGGACCAGCCAACTGGTGGCGATCATGATCAATACAGTGTTATTGCTGATGATCAGTCTGTACGACAGTGGCCTGCAGACAGCAAAGTAACGGTCAATGGAGATGAAGGATAGATGGAAGATGGAGGATGTGCTCAGCATAATGTCAGTGCTGGTGTGGAGCTTACACAGAAACCCTCCTAGGTACCAACAGCCCTGGACAGAGCGCACAGCACTGCAAGGCATTATAAACACTCCCAGAAGGAGGTCACACACAGCCAGGGAGAGGAGGAGTTGGTTTATGGAGGTTTGGAGCTGCTTGAAGTGTGCAATAGAGGTGATGACCAGAAGGTTCCCAATAACAGTCACCAGTATTGCCAACACCATCGATGTGAACATAGGAACCTGAACGCTCAGGGGTCGAGCAAACCTCACACACGATCCACTCAAAGACTCGTAGCAGAAAAGAGTCTGTGTTTTCACAGTGTTGTTAAGGTTTGAAGTATTTGAGAAGTCCATTCCACCTGGTGTTTTAGGCCTAGAGACAAGGAACAATTTGATCACAGCTTTAAATGTGTAATTACAACATTTTTCATATTTTCATCTGTCATCTACATCTTTGTTTGCTAAAATTAACTGGACTTACATTCAATGAAAGGTTTGCAACAATAGTGTTACTTTAACAGACGGAACAATGAACTGCTAGTCCAAAGCGTTGTTCTGAATCAGATTAATGGGCTTCTGAAAATAGAACACATCCTGTTGATAATGCTTCCCATGGGAATCCAGTTTATTTCCAAAAATAACACAAATGATGGAAATGTGGCCACTTGAGGGAAATGTGGCTCTTGTAACAATTCCCAAATAATGAATTAGACATGCTAATCTTCACCAAATAGTTACACATTTAATAAATACAGTTTTTATAAAGCTTGTATACTGTATAGTCATAGTATGTAAATGTAATCATGCAACTTGAACAACTACTTCCGTACGTGAGATGTATCAATGTCAATTTCACATCACATAAGTTAATGAAGCAAAATTGTGGACTCATCAACTAGTCATACGTGGTTCTTGGTTGAAAGGTCACAAAGAAAATACAAAAAAGTAGTATGAATAAAACCTGAAACCTATACTCACCTTAATATCTAAAATGATTGTGCATTTATTTCATTATTTCTCAGCAATCAATACCTCAATCTGTATTTGTCCATGGGAAGCACTAAGAACAAATGGTGTTTGATTTTGAGCTCTGGTCAGGATCCTTTCAGCAGAGGGAAACAAAGAGACAAGTAAACACTCTATAGTCATGTTGACTTGTTGAACAATTGGTTATACAATTATGGTGTGTAATATAGATCATGCATAAGAAAAGTTTAATCTCACCTAATCATAGTCAGCAAACCATGCACCCCCTCCTTCAGTCTCAGGCTCTACGCGCACCTAGACTTTCCTCTGTGCATTATATAAACAGACGGATGCTGCTTCACAGCCAATGAAATTAGAGTTTTAGTCTGTGGAGACTCCTACTGTATGTTGTTCACTGTGTCTGATGAGTCCACATGATTCAGTTGGCAACAGATAGTCATCAATTATGGGCCCAATTGTAATAAATAATTAGCATTGTAATAATGCAGGATTATCTGTCATAATCTAAGATAGCAATCAAGTATAAGCAAAGATCAAATATTTAATTATTCAACAATCAATGGGTATACACTGCGTGACGAGGGCGTAACTTTGCGTTGCATATTGGGGAGGTCAGTGTCAATGGGTTCCGGGGTCAACTCCCTTCTAGGTGTTAAAGAAATTGCTGTGAAATAGTTGTTTCTGGGGAATTTTGAAGGGAAAATACATCCAAAATGTTCCTGATAATTTGATCAATATCTCCCAACCACAACTGAATTACCAATAATTTCTGTATTACTTTAAACTGTTGGTCTAACTTTAATGATTCAGAAAGTAATCATGTTTAACAATTTTTTTGTAGAACGACTGTGAGAAAGTCAGTTCTGGGGTGCGTTCATTTCGATGGAACGTCTACGTTGCGTAATGGCTTGTACTGAACAGCACATTTCCCCAAAATATTCTTCAAAGTTCTTGAACAGACTTTGAGGTAACCTACATTTGCTCCATTTTGGTGGGTCTGGGAGTAGGGCTGGCCAAAATATCAAATTACAATATTTTAGACGGTATGACGGTATTTTACAGTGTTTTAGGTTTTTGAATAATACAAGTTGTAAATATGCTTTATGAGTAGTGCATGACTCTAGGATGGCAACACATACATTCTACGTGTTTTTAATGGGGCTTTCACCATTCTGATTGTTTTATACTTTTCAATAAAACTTATAATGAATAGAATATAGTGGGAACTTTGAATAGTGTTGTTTGACATGTCATTGAATGAAAAAGCCAGCGAGGGCATATTGTGATATAGTAGGAACCAAAGTTTTGGTCAGTGTTTCCCAGTGGATGCTAATTAGATGTTACATTAAATGTTTTCTGTTACTTGATGCAGCTAAAATATCCATGCTTCGCCTATTCTTCTCTGATTTAGAATATACCTTTGCACCAACAACATGCAGATCCAGGCCTACACCAGCACTGGTATCAGGCTGGATTAGCTAGCTACGTTTGCTCTGACTAAGTACACTAACCAGCTAACTAGCGATTAGCATTATATAGGCCTAAATGCCGAGACAATAAGAAGACACAGTGGCAGAATAAATTCAACCACACCTTTGTTTCATTACCAAACCGGAGAGCAACATCTGTCCGGTGGAGTCCGCAACGCATATTGCATGTAACAAACAGTTACATGACCTACAGTATGGCCAATCAAGTTAATGTTTCTGACATTTTCGGACTACTAAACAACTATTGATTAAGAACACCGGAGAGTTACCACAAGTCACAAAGAAAACAGGAGCTGCCTCCACTATTCCAGCACCATTTCAACTTCAACATTTCAACATCATCAAATCACCTATGCTTAGTGTAATACAGTGACAACTAAAATATACCAAAAACAATTTAATCCAATCAACATAAGCTAAATATGATATGTCTGTCCATGGCACTGATTTCTGTGTGTGTATCACTGTGTGTGTATGTTTGTGTTTGTGTATGTAAGTAGAAAAAACATGTTGACTCACCCTACTTGTAGAGAAACGCCAATGCCATCCTCCTCTCTTTCATGTTGCTAAAACGGTCTATGACTCTGTCATACAGTACACGCTTTTAGTTTCTGTTGTCCTAGGCTACCTGGCTAAAATGCTTGCTTGCCAGCCTAACTTCCTTTCATGGGCAAGGATGAGCCAGCTCCCAGGCCAGGGGCACAATGTATGAATTTATGGTCGGATCAGTATCACCGTTATAATAATAATAATAATATGCCATTTAGCAGACGCTTTTATCCAAAGCGACTTACAGTCATGCGTGCATACATTTTTTGTGTATGGGTGGTCCCGGGGATCGAACCCACTACCTTGGCGTATAATCATTACGGAGAATTAAGTAAAACCACAAGTCCAAATCCCTATCGCCATTCATGGCTAATTTAGGAATGGGCCAATTTTAGCTAGTTAGCTAGCCACCGGAGCACAACAACACAATGAGATGCAACAATTCAAGTTTTTTCTGTCAAAAACGTTTGATGTGACTTTTGATGTGATGTTATTGGTGTGAATCCACTTTTTTTTGGTGCATCAGTTTAGTTCAACGCTGATTGGCTATTATTTTAAACTTTTTCATCAAGGGAGGCCAAATGCTCGCTGCCTTCTCTTGCATTCAATGCTACGGGCGGCAACAATATCATACTATTTTTGACCAGACAGCATCAGATAGATGGGCTACACATACAGAGACAGAGGGGCGCTGTTTCGCTCGCTCGAATGCTTTCTCCAGTGAGATACACTCAGCCTCTTGCGAATTGAAGATAAAAATTATGAAATAGAGAGACGAAAAGAACATCTGTTTTTATTGGTCGTTTTTTAGGGGAAGCCTGGATTCACTTGGCACCCATGAATACACACCTCTGTCATTTAGTTATTTGATTTGGAATTTTAGGACCCATTTAGGTATAAATAAATATATTACACAATTATTTGATGAAACATTGAATTTGATCTTACTGCTTTCAGCCCATAGAAACGCATTGAATAACAGATTCAAACATGGAAAAACAGATAGTCAAAAAATAAATAAAAAGGAAGTACATTTTAGTGTCTGTCCTATATCTTAAAGATATAAGAAAGATCAGGTAATATATATTTTTAATTTGTACCCATATTTCACAAAAAAAGTGTGTGTCACTAAACTACTTTTATATACACTCAGTGTACAAAACATTAGGAACACCTGCTCTTCCCGGATACTACAGACAGAAGTTGGCAGATTGGCAGTACCAACTTCAGACAAGTTCCGTGACACTTGTGGGGGTCTTAGAGCAAAACGGAGAACACCATTGTGTTCGTGAGATGTCCATGTTTCCATACAGTGGTCATGGGCCAAACCATAGGCCAAACTGTTCGGATGCTAAAGACGTTTTCGTGAGAATACCGATTGTCGGGATGTCTCATGGTCTTACAAACACTGCTGTAGCTCAGCCACCTTCCACCACAGATGCAGAAGGCCGCCATTGGAGGATGCGGTGGTTTGCGATGCAGCCCAAGCTAGATATCTCGAGCTTAAACAGATGGATTTTGATGGGGTTTTATTTATTATGGTAATTAGATTTCCGCGGGGCCGTGGACATCAACTCTAGGGTGTGTTAATGAGCAAAATATGCTGGTGTCAAACCATATTTGAAAACATACATATTTTGAAAGCTGAGAAACAACCCTTTCAAATTATATAACATACAGTAGCATCACATCAATCAAATGATAATCAGTCAAGAAAAAACACCTGTGAAAATGTGCTTCTTTTACAAAAATCTACGCTTTTTTCCCCAAACAACTGCCATTTACACAACTTCCTACTGAAGATAGAGAAAAATGTAGAGTATATTGAGTCTTCCTTATTTTGTATGGTTTGAAAATCTGAAATCTGAATAGTAATACCTTTTTCTGTGAATGAGTTACATCCATTTTAGTGAACGGTGGTAATTTGGTCGAATTCTATGGAATGTTCCGTTATTAGACACTTTCTTATCTGGATTGTCTATTACACACATATATGCACCAAAACATAATTCAAATGGTATTTAGTCTTACATATGATAAGGAAAGACATACACAAGCAATATAATACGCAAATAAAGCTAGTTTGCTATTTAGAATTCTTTCTTTTTGTTTTTCGAGGTAGAGAAACCAACAGCATAACCAAAAGCATAGTCAGTGTTCTAAGAATGACACAATTTATCACAATCTGCCACCATCTACAACAAACATGTTGGGTTCGATCCCCGGGACCACCCCATACACAAAAATGTATGCACGCATGACTGTAAGTCTCTTTGGATAAAAGCGTCTGCTAAATGGCATATTATATTATTTTTATTTTTTATTTAG